AAACTGCTAAAAAATAATTTTTTTGTGAAAAATTAGAATGTAAAAAACATAAAAGAAAAAACCATTGAACGTCCATAGTACAATAATCGTACTAAAATTATTTTGGAAGAATAAAATAAAAAAAATTAACATATATTTCGTTTTTATTATGTCGTATAATACCTAGCACTTCTATTATAACCGTATAGCACTCTGTGGAACAGTGACAATCCACGATGGTCATCGTGGTTGAGTGGAGTGAGACTCCCTTTTATTAACAATTTATCAACGAATATTACTGTGTACGTTCCTTTTTATTTTTTTCATAATACACATACGAGTACATATATAAATAAATGTATAATACAATTTGTTATGCAATGTTATAACTATGGGAGAACTAAAGATCACGGGGATATATCCCTATCAGTCGCCAGGCTGTTCGACCGCCCCTATACTGCGGGAAAATCGTCTTGATTACACACTGCATTGCGACCGCCCTCCGAGAGACGATAGCTGGTTTCTTTCTTCATGCACCCGCAGTCGTATAACAATAATAATAACCGCGGGACAAACGGCGACGGTGCAAGTCACAAAAATTTGATAATGCGTCCAAAATGGCCGCGTAAAGTACCGTTTAACGAGGCTGAAAATTGGATAACAGTGTGTTGTGTATATAATATTTTATATAGAACGACTATATTATAATACTTTCATACGCACATTACGTCCCGGAAATTGTATGTATTGTGCCGCGCAGTATATACATATATTATATGCATATGTGTTTATTATCGTGGCCACGTTTAGATAAATTTGACTGACGCGAACACGAGTATATAACGATACGAACACAAGAGCGAAATAAACACGTTCGGTGAACTTTTGACCCGTATAAATGCCGGCTGTGCGCGGCAATTTTCATTTAAAAAAAAAGACGCCTCGAGCGGCAAATAAGCTGCGTCACCACAGTCGAATTTTCCCTCCCGTGATCAGCGCTATTTTGCATTTTATAGATAATTAATTTTCGCCGTAAATCACCGCGAATATTACAGATATTACAATATTACAACACTACAACTGTTAGAGATTAAAATGCCGGAAAATTCTCAATAAATAAAATCAGGACCGTTTCGGAAAAACTGTTTTATTCCTATAAGAGTCCCTGAGAAAGTTAGAAATTTTTAAAATATTAAATTTCCATAAAAATTCGTTTCATACATTTAATGGAAAAATTACTTTCAACCTGAAAAAGAGTCATTAACAATATAGTTACATAATTTATCAACCTTTTTTATATTTTCTATAAAAAAATAGTCTTCTTCTTCTTCTCCTTCGTCTTCAGGCAACCATCGTCCTAAACATCTACTTGACCCGATCTCCCATATCATCCTTGCAGGTATCGATCGTCCTCGTATAACTTTCAATCGTAACATAAAATCGTCGTGTTCCCCCTTTTTTTTTTTCATTTAGATTCTAGTGATTTTAAAATTGTTTACATTTTAGATTTCGAGCGTAGCGAAGGAGCTATTAGTTTTACAGTGCTGTTTATTTTTTTTCTTTATTCTAATCTGTGGACACGTATTTTCAAAGTTAACTTGCTCCGTTTTTTACGTGTAACAACTTTTCTGAAAACTCAAGTTGTCAAGAATGTACTTTAAATAAGTCATGTCATTTTCAAATAACACCACTTAAGTGGGAAAACATACAATTTCACGATTTCACTATTTTATAAAAACACGGACGACGTTTTCTACCAGGAAAAATGATTTAATCGAAAAATAATAAAAAAAACCTTTTTTGTTCCCCTTTTAATTTACTTTCTTATGGTATCATCGATAAAAAAATTTAGTAACTTTTGATCTTTTAAGAAATTTTAACTTTTGTGAGGTTTTTTGCTGTAATTTGGTTATAAATACATATAGAAACTTGAAACTTGGTAATAATTCTTAAATTGGATTTACCTAGACATGATAAAATTTCAAAAATCATCGGACGACTTATTTTTTAAATAAGCGTTTTGAAATCAAATTCAAACGAAAATCACAAAAAAATATACGGCACTTTAAATGATGTATTACCGAACTGCCCTCGGCATTATCTTTCGTTAAACAACGATTTGTCGTTGCTTACAGATATAAATAAAATAACCTTTTGTATCCTATCTTCCTAACTTCTCATCTACAACAATGGCTACTCCCATCCCTAGTATCAGCTAATCACAAAAGTCTTACTGAATATCGATTTTATTCTACAATTTGTTTTTTTTTTATCTATAATTTATTATTCCAGGACTTTATATTACATTGTACTACATCAAGAATACATTTTTTAAGTTTTAGCATACACGTTTTAAAATAAGGGAAGGATTTGAAAATTGAAATCCTAGAAAAGGACACATCCTCGACACTAACTATACATAATGTAAACAATTTTATTTTAAAATCTCAATTTATATAGGCGCCTTTATATAAATATTCAAAGCTAAAATAAACATCCTTATCATGCAACAACACGCTGAAATTCATAATATTAGAATTTGACTCAACATTTCTCACGTCAATCCACCTGCAAAACTACTCTAATTCCCGAGTTTAATCAAATTATTTGTATAGAAAGAGCAACTTTAAATGTTCAAAATTAGAAAAACATTATAATATTATATCAGACATAATAAAGTGTCTTTGATAAGGTAATTTTAGGGGAAAATATGACAACAAAATCAACTATTTTTCTTACTTCGATTTTTAGCGCATCTATTTTGTATTTTATTTTTTTTTGTTAAAGGATCACGTAAAAATAAAATACTAGTGGGGATATGTCGCACATTATAATTCGAGAGAGTGTAAATATAAATGTACCAAACCCTCGCGGGAACCGTTTAAAAAACACAAATTTAATATTACATACTATCGTATTACGACTGTAGCACATGATCAAATAAACGAACTCCACATATTATTGACACTTGTCCAAAACTATTTCCAAAAAAATTCCGTCGTTTGTACCGCATCAAAATCGATCAGCTGACAAAATTTAAACACAAAATACAAAAAACATAATAATAATGGAAATTAATATTCTTTTCAAATAGTTTATAAATTATTATTTAATCACATTTTGAGCATAGGGAAAGCAGGATCTCTATTATACGATGCACTGCGATGGCAATGCATTGAAAAAGCCCTACTCTGAGCTTAATTGGTCGGGGTAGCTTTGTCCTACAATTTATTTTAGGGATTAAATTCTGGACTGAAAACTTGTGAAGAATTTATCACGAAATAAACCTCGAATAAAGATAAATGGAAAAACAGACTAGATTCGTAAATCGGAAAACGCAAATGAAGATCACGAATTAAAACACTTTGAACCTTTTTAGAACTGAACATTTCCAGAATCTTACGGATGTACTAGATACATATGATATGAAAATAAAAAACACTTTTTTTAATTTCCATAATTCAACATCTATTTGGTTTGTTTATCTGAATATTTTTTTACATCTTAAAAACTTATTATTTTATTTACAATAAATTAAATAATTATAACTATAGAAGTCAATGATTATTAAGATTAACAGCACAAAATAAAATGTTATAATAACGAATTAATATAATAAATAAAGGCAAACTTTTTATTAGACATTATTGATCAATACACATACATGAAATCTATTTAAATGTTTATTACATTTTTTTCAAATTTTATTTATACTGATAAACTCTTGTTTGTCTTTTAAAAGACAACTAATCTGTTAATCATTTTGCTCGATAAACAAGATCTACACAGTGAATTTACCAACTCGACAAAAGAAAATAAATACTCAACAAAAACTTGCATACATACTTAACAAATTTTGTACTTGAAAATATTTAAAATGCAATACATTACAAATGTCCCATTAACAATATTAGAACTACCACTATAATTGCTTCTTGTATAAAACAGTTAACATGGACAGCCTTTCCGGGTTATTTAATTTTTTTTTTTTTTTTTTTTTAATTACGCCAAAAAATGTTTAAGTATCTGGTTCTTTTAGCACAAGAAAATACAAAATAAATTAGATAAATTTAAAAAAAAAACAAGATACAAAATGCAATTGTATGTTTAATACACTTATCTGTGATACTGCTCAACCTCGCGTATAATACAATAATAACCATTTTTCATCAGCTATAATTATTAGCTGTAGAATTCAAACAAAATTGTTAACTATATTATTTTTATGCTCAGCGATAGTTTGTATATCCCTAACCATTCAGAAAAACTTATACTAGCAATTTTCAAGTCTCGTAAGTATCATTATGTTGTAATACGAAAGAAAAAGCCATCATATTATTATTATTATATAAAAGAACGTTGTTATCTGATTTAATATCGAAACTAGTGAAAACCCTGCGATCGCATAACACACAACAGTGTTATAGATAAACGCAAAACTATAACGTTTTATGTTATGATGAAACCCATTAGATATATCGTCTGTTCGAATAAAAGTAAAAACGTCATCACTTGCTGTATAGTAGGCGTACAAAATTCCATCGTTTTTCAAAGCATAGACGCGTCGTAATATAAAACAGAATTAAATTAGTCAATCCATAAATTTTACTCGGAACTACACACGCATACAAATCTATACAATACAACCAATGTCTAACTTAAGAATTTCACTAATCAATAATACAGAAAATATTACGGTAAATTTAATTTGTATGAAGCAAAATATGTATATTCCAAAAAACAGTAATAAATACAATCGAAATTATTGTTACATATTGGTTGACTATCTTTTCTTTTTTTTTTTTTTATGAAATATAAGTGTATAGAGTTGAGTAAAATAAATGGGAAAAACAAACGTATTTTTTTCGTTATTAAAAAATGTTTCTTGTATTTACATATAGTTTCTAACTAAATTTAGATTTAAACATATTGATTTTGGTTTTCGTTCAACGAACACGATAAACATATAAATATTTGATGTCCTCAAAATTAAATAAGTGGTACAAATAGGCGATTTTACCTAAGTCTATGCACTCTCTCTGCTTACATTCTCTATGCCTGATCTTAAATCTGAGGTTTGGCCGCAGGGAATTGAGGACACTGCTCTAGATGAAGACCGCGATAACAATGACTAGTAAAGAGAAATTGAACAGGGTAGAAACAGCAATAATGAAAAATGCAGATAATAGAGACTTTTGGAAGAGCTTGTTGGAGACAGTCAAGGCCTATAAAAGCTATACAATATATATTGTGTGCATAGGTATATATATATATATATATTTATTCTGCTGATAAATGGAAAGAAAAAAAAATTTAAAAATAATATTCTAATATATAAATATATTTCTATCATCTATAGAATATTTTTATTTGTCGTGTTATAAAGTAAAAACAAAACTTAAATCGATTTTGCTAAAAAACGTATGCATCGTCGATTTTCCCTGTTTTTCATTCGTTATTTATTTATTTATTTTTAAGAAAAAAATTCCTAGAAAATAGTAACTTATCGAAAAATTGATAGACGTGTGATAAACATTGAAACTACGTGTTGTGAAATACTTACACAGACACACACTATACACATCAATGTAAAATTTAAATTTATCTACGCTCATCAAGATCTAAAAATAATACACTTATTGCTATTATTTTCAAATTTGCGAAGCTCCCGAGTTAAATTAATTAATTATTTCTTCGTTACGGGATTTGAATGCTTAAAACATCACATCGCATCATAATGGTTTTCACGGTAGGTAGTCGAGGCAATTATCCATATCCCGACTACAAAATAATTATCCCTTCGAAAATCCACCAAATTTTCTGTGAACTATATTATTTTCTCCTTCGTAATAGTAATATTATATTTAGCAACTGTGTTTAATAAGAAAATTATGGTTTTAACTCGGACTAATATTGTAATATCTTTATTAAAGAGCCAATCACTACTTCCGTTTGCCGGCCAGTGCACTACATTATACAAAATTAATTCGACCAATTTAATGAATATCTGTTTAAACGAAAAACACATTCTCATACTTGGTCAGTACATTTTATATAATTGTGTTAACGACCAGGGATGCTCAATGACATTGGTACATTTGTATTTTATATATTCAATCATTTGACATTTATTAATTGAGTCTGTAAATACATTTATCATTGGTGTATCTTGAATCGTTTATTTTTTTTTTAAGTTAAAATAAAAATTGTATCTTCGTTTATATTTAAATGAAGATTCATTCCTTTTAATTGTTGACATTAAAACAAAAATAACGAGTAATACATAATTCATTCAAATACCTTATAATTAATGTATTTTTCATATTTTATTGAAAATAATAAATACTGAAATCTATTACATTTTGTATTTTTGTGTCTTGAAAATATCTTAAAATTTACTATCTTCGTTCAAAAGATTAAAAAATATGGATCGAGAGTTAAAAACTTAAGGACTAATAACTTATATTGTATCGATATTAAACTTGGTTTTGAATATTTTACTAATTCCTACAGTTAACAACCATATAATTATATAATATTTTTAGACGGGGGATAAAAATAAAATTACCTCGTTTCTCTAGCTTATAAAAATGTATGTTTTCTTTAAGTTAGTATCTTAAAAAAAAATATAAATAATAACTAATATTATTAAAAACCATAAAAGTTATCGGGTGAAATATAGTCTCATATTTTAAAATTAAACTAGATAAATAAATCTCTCCTCTCATCGGTTTTATTGCTACGCAAACACATAAGGGGTGATTTTTTTAATCGTTAGCTATCGATAATCGCTATGAAAAATGTTAAATAAATTTTTATTTTGTTATTTTTCATTATAACAAAGAAACCTAAACCTCATCAATAGTTTGTTCGAAATATTATCATTTTCCCGTATACTATGATAAACGTAAGTCAATAACTTTAGTTTTCAGATAGGAAATCACATTTTTATACGAAAAAAAAAATTACTTTTTCTAAAATACAGCTATTCTTATTGTTCACAATTTATACCAGAGGATTAGATATGGGTCGTAATAAATTGCATACATCATGTTTATAGTTAACCCTTACTCACTCCTTTAGTCAAAATTCCAAACTATTATACTGTGTGTAATATAGATACCAACAGTTTATAATCAGTATTAGATTCTGAAAAAAACGAGGAATATATTGGTTTTGCAGTGATATATACTTTTATATTTTATTTTTTTATCTGTGAACAAATTTTCTACCAGAAACCTAACTCCGATATTCAAATAAAGTACTTTTTCTGAAAGGAAATTTTACCGGGTGGTACACTTAGTAAATTTTGATTTTACAAGCATTTTTCATCAAAAAAATGCGCAAAATAGGGGGAAAACGTGGGGACAACGGAAAAGTTTACGAAAACAATGCTTTTATTTTCTAGATGTGGTAAAATTTTCAAAACATTTGAGCGATTTTTGAGGTATTTAAACACATTTTAATTTTACGACTTTTTATGTAATTTTTATTCGGTAGGTACTTTATGGATAAAATTGTAGACTAAACAGAAATGCTAAAAAATTTATATGAGGTTCATTATAAGTTGAACTTAGAAAACAAGTTGAACAAGAAAAAGCTGAATTTAATTTAGTATTTTTTTTTTATATATATATATAAGAATATTAATATCAAATTTTGACGAAAATCGTAAACATTTCCGCCTTTTAAATCATATTATAGAAACCAAACTCCGCTGAGAATCGTTTTTTGAAAGTAATGATTAATCTTTGAGTACATACTAAAATTTCTCTCTGTATCCTACCTTCCCAACTTTTCACCTACAACAGTGGCTCACTCATCGTGCGAAGTATGTCCGTCTATTTTGTTCAAGGTTTTGTTTATGATACACAAAATAATATTGCCAACATTTGTTTTTAAATGTCTAAGACCATTACTGAACGAACCGAATTGAAATTAGTTCAAAAATGTTGTTGATGGTTCACCTTGTGTAGTGTGTATATAACATAATATGTAATATATTTATAGTACGATCGCGACTAGATTGGCGGAGAGAGCGACAACAGACCCGACGGCAACGTCAACAACGACGACAGAATTAATGGTACGACACCGGTCGCCAAGACGTGCGCGTACGTTGATCCGATCAATTACATCGTTTCCCGGAGGCTTATCGCTGTTGTCACAATGTTGTCCCTACGCTCCGGGAACGAAAACACGGCGGATTTGAATATTATGCCTCCCAATATAAACCACCTTCCCCTGCCCGAAAGTCCTCTGACAAACGGAAAGAGAATCGCGTCTCCTCCCGAGTGATCGTCATAATCATTATCCCCACCCGTCTACCGGGTGGTCATTTTCGCGTTCGCCGTTCGACAATTATTACAATAGACTCTATTGTAATAATTGTCGAATAGAGGATATACTCGTGTGTTTATATATATATATATATATATATATATATATATCTCCTCTTTATTTATGACGTTTTCAGTAAGTTAAAATTCTTCAAATTCGTATTATTAGCTGATGATTTAAAGTTTTTGAAGTCAATTCGATGTCATAACGACAATCTTCTTCATCGGAAAGATGTAAATAATTTCCACGAGTGGTGTAATTAGAATGTTATATCTTTAAATATAATCGTTTAGAGTGAAAAAAAACACGTAAACTTTAGTTTCAGATAAGGAAGAGGATGAGAAAACTGAAAAAAAAAAAAGAGTTGGGTATGGAAAACTAGGAGAGAATGTCGCATTTCGGTGGTATAATCCTAGTGACCGTTGATATCGATAAGAAGAAGACAAATAAAACCACCAGTAATACATTTTTCGAAAGAAAATATAAAAATATTAAGGCAAATTAATTTATTATACCTATCGTACCTAAAGTAAACTTCGCGGTCGGCGGTGCGCAAAGGAGATGTATTCGGAAGCAACTATAGGTGAACTGAGCTGGGAAATAGAAAGAGAGTGCAGTTTTCCGCGAACAAACCCGTGCGTTTTTTTCTTTGTTGTTTTTGGCACGGAAAGAGAAAATCTAATATCTCACCCGTGAAGTCTGGATCGATAAACCTCATTTCACCCATCATTATACGTCAGACGTAAAATTTCGGTTAAAGGTAAAACCTCGTTAAAACGGACTAAGTTATTTTTGTTTTGGCCTTTTGGTTCATTCCGTCAATACAACCGACGGATATTTCAAGATTATTATAGGTGGGAAGCGTCAAGCGTATGCACGTAACTAAAGCGGAAACGGAATGTGCTTTCAATATACACAAAATACAGTAAAACGGAATCCACTCATTAAATCTCGTCTCAAATAACTATAGTGAACCGGACACCGTACTTTAAACACTTATCATATTGTATGACTTACCCGGTTAGAGTAATAATATTATCGTGTTTCTACTGTTTTAAGAAGTTGGTGAGTAAGTATACCTACATAACTCGTCGCCGCCGTAATATTTGTAAATAATTGCTTTTGTGTATGAAAACGTGATCACGCGAGTATACAGTATTGTTTGTCGTCAAACGAACAAATATATCGCTAAAACTAACAAATTCTGGACTAAATGAAATGTGATGCAGTTTATGCCCTCAATCAAGTGATTTCTTGGTGAGAGGAGGAGGTATGAACATTTTAAATAATAATAATACTATAAAAGTAACGTACTTATATACAATACAATTTCAACTAAGTATTTTGCGATCGTACAAAAAATGTGTACAAAAAAAAACACAGAGTTTATAGAAAAAATGTATTTAGTTATTTTATTTGATTAACGTACATTTGGCCAGTCGGGGAGAGGGAAGGGGGACGGAAAATGGTAAAATAATTATTTTTTTTATTAAATCATCATATGCCAATATTTAGTTGTTACATAATGGCATATTTTAGCACGTAATTTGAATGGATCTGTACGATTAACGCCATCCATTCTTAATATATAATATATATATGTATAAACAAAAATCGATTAACGAATAAAAAACAATATATATATGTATCGTTTTTCAGGAAGAAGGGGAATTATTATAGCCATAACATATTATCATTGTTATGTTGAACGATAAAAATATTTAATTTATTAGGGCGATAGTTTAATATTCAATATCGAATAGAATGTACAATATATATACGTACAAATTATACATAGATAAACACAAAAAAAAAAAATAATAATAATATTAATAAAACTATTAAAAATGTTTCAATTCAATTGAATAAAGCGATTAGTTTGAATCAATATATAGATATTTGTTTAATTTTTTTCAATTTAACAATAAATTAATATTTAATGATTTAATAATTGAAAAATAAAAATATCGGCTGTAAGTTCATCAAATTATAAATTGCATATCATATATGATAACATTATCATCATAGTATTTTATTATTGTTGTTTATATCAAACTATAATCTCATAATTACGTCGGGTTGTGTTTTGTACAACGCGGCCAATACCATAAATCGTTTTAAAATAGGTTATCTACAATTACTATAAAATAACGAACGTCTATTACCGACTTATATTTTTTTTCGTTTTTTCTCGTGGAAAACATTGAATTCGTGCTTATTTTTTCTTTCAAAAAAATCGGTTAAAAAATAGAAAGCCCGAATTCACTAGTTCATTTAATAATAAGTTGCACACTTCAACGAATTTACAAACAAAATAATATAATTTATTGTATAATTAAATTTCGTTAGTATTTTTCTATACTTAATATTATTATACTTCTAATAGAAGTGTAATATTATGCTACTTTTTATTATTAAGTTTAAATGGTAAAAATAAAAGGTTTGGTGGAATATTTCAATAAAATCCGTTCTATAGATTTTAAAATTTAATAATAATTTATAATACATTATATATTATACTGTTACACATAAAACACTAACATATAGATACTAAATTCAATTTAAATTTAATTATAAAAAGTTCAATTAAAATTAATATTCAATGTAAAGTTTGTTATTAGCTAACTTGCTAACATTTAGGGCATTGTTTGATAAAATAATTGTTTAAAAACCAAGCACTCGTAATTTCAAAACTTAAAGCTATTTCTCGTCATTCATCGTTCTTTTCAACATCTAAAATGTAGATGCTTTCATTTTTGCATGTTTGATCATACATTAAACATTTTATTACTATTTTACAACGCTAATTATATACAAGTTGAAATATTAATTTTTTTTAAAATTATAAATGTATATTAATTTTTCGTTTTGATGTTTTTGAAAGTTCATCTATAACATCATTCATATTCACGTTGTTACATATTTTAAACGTATATTACGTTAAATATATTTTAGTATGGCTAAACCATTAAAACGTATTTGTTCCGAAGAATTTTCAAATATGTTTTCATACGACGTAATGTTGAAAACGATCGTTCTTCCGTGGCAGTAGATACTGGAAATGTTATGAATATTTAAAGAAGTTTAAATATTACTGGATAAACATCTGAACTAGTTTGGAAGTATACTTCAATAGCATTTTTGATCTTGAGTTTGGAAGATGTTAAATTTGAATATTTAGTGTATCACAAATCTAATTATCCGTTTAATATATAACTATTTAAACTTGAATCGTTACATTCATCAATTATATCTTGATATGTTTCTACTAATTTTTTAAATTTGCCTTTAATATCGTCAGATATTTTTATTTCTATCTTAGGTAAAATACAATCAAAATTATTCAAAACAATCTTGTCCGATATAAATCTTTCGTTCAATCGATCTAAACAATTATCTATAAAATATATGAATACTTATAAAATATTCTGGATCATCTAATTTAGATTGACGTTGAAAACTAACAGTAATATCCCATTTTCCACAGACAATTATTACAGATAAAAATAATTTTTGAAACTCTACAGCACAATTTTCTCTAATATCCTGTGTATTATTTTGAACATTAGCAGCTTCTAATGCAGTTTTAAATTAAAATTTACTGTTGAAGATATCGGCTAAGTGAAAAACTTATGGAAAGTATTTTCACTAAAAAAGATAAAGTTGTTTGAAATTTTAAGTGTTCTATCGCAGTATGAAAATGACTTGCAGAACTCGAAGTGTCAAAATCTGTCCAAAGTGTAATTTTATTTAGTGCGTGTAAAATGGATGATTGAAATTCTTCAAATAAAACAACTGGATCATGGCGATAGACCTATCAAGTTGCACATACATTTTTTAGTTTAAAACGAATACTTTGTCTTTTTGGATAACCAAAAACTATAACGGATAACCATAGAGCTACCTATTATTATAATATATATACACACTACACAGGCATTTCGGGGGGCTTACAACCCCCTAACCACCACTGGATACGCCACTGGTGACAGATTACCACTCGTTTGATATTTAAGAGTACATCTAATAAGTCAATTAAAATTTCCACAATTTCCAGTTGACATTTTTAAATTTCAAATATCATACAGATATCTATTTATTGATTTCAAATTATCGTTTGGTTATGGTCACAAAAAAAAGAAGTTGAAAAATGAAATTGACCATATTGCCATGCATAATATAATGAATATTCTATACCCAATCCAATATTGTATATTAAACTATGGTACTGATAAATCCATTTTTTTTCATCGTGCAATTGCAAAAATGAGTTGTTATAGCTATACAATAGTTCCCTCCTGGGAAATTATACATTTTAGAAATCGATGAAGTTAGGGTTACGGGGTTAATCGTACGAATTCATGCGAATTACATGCTAATTATTGGTCGAAACAGAATTCTTAAGTATCAACATTGAGTTGTTTACGTCCTGATACCTCCTAGGAATCGATTTATCTCAAATATTGTTGTCGTGTAAATCGTGTAAACAGTGTTGTGTATCCATGCAAATTGTGTGCATAATATTAGTATAATTTGTTTTAATGATTTCCAATGAAGGTTAGAGAGGGGCTGGCTATACGTAATACGTTACTTCTTTTCGGAGTGTATAAGTATAACAAAATTATTCGTTTTAAATGTAGTCACTCATATTAAACGACAGACGACTGAACTTTGCAGTATTATTTTAATAACTGATTTTTTTTATTTATTTATATTTATTGATCACACGATTTTCCAGACATTTTATGTCGAATATAATATACAGTTCGAGCTTCCTATGTTATTTGACGCATTCGATAAACCCACATTAAAAAACCATCTGAAAAAGTAATATACTTTCGCGTGCGGAAAACAAGTTTGTCATCTCTCACCACGCGCAGGATGCGCAATTTTCCATGATGAAATCGAAAAATGTTTCAAATAAAATACCATCAACCAAGCGTCGCGTCGTCTGACAGAGTCTCAGCGAAATTAGATAATATGTCCTACCATTAAAGTATTTCGATAAAAAAAAAAATACGTCAATATGAAAAAAAAAACAACCATTACATTTTGTATCTTATTCCAAACCCGTTATATTATTTAAACTGTAGTCGAAAATGTCAACTGATGCGTAGAGCTCAGACGAAAATAATATAATAGTAACCACTTATTTATCATGTAAAGGTATAGTACGAAATAAACGAACGAACATACTTTAATCTTAATAAAAAGCATTATAAAACATTAAATCGAAAAAATGTATAGAATACGATTATCTACAACATTGAATTTATTACGTCATTGCGATTACAGAACACTGAAAGTACTCGACTCAATATTTGCATTTATTGTAACTTAGTTATCGAATCGCACACGATTTATCAAGTCAATAATTGATAGTCGGATTTACGATTACATTCTATGGAGCTTATTGATGTTGGTAGGAGATTTCATATCACTATTTATATTATTATAATATTACGGCAACCCGAGCTACTCGCGTTTCATCTACAACCCGCCAAAGACTTATGAGGAAAAACGACACCGTGTAAGTATAATAATAACAATAAAAACTGTATATTCTTATTCCGAGTAATCGGAACAATAGTCGAAGGCCTCCTATATTTGTTATAGATATATATATGTATATTTTTTTTTTGCATTCTAATTACTCTGTTCGCCATTGTATATGCGTCACGTAAAATACAGAAGGAAAAACCACCCTATATAATAGTCGAGCGCGGCTTTTCTGTAGCACCCGAATGTAAAAAAAAAAAAAACAAAAAAAACAAAAGAAAATCCGTGCGAAAGCCCGCGCAATAGGAAAGTTATCAGAGTTCGAAAACCACAAGACAGAGAAAAGGTTTGAACAAAAACTATACCTACGTATCAGATCAATACGGAACATTTTTTTTATCGGGTATAACTTATTGAACATTTCCTGTGCGGAAAATATTGAGACGCATTTATTCATTTATTTTTTTTTTTTTACATACATTTTTTATTTATATATTTATTTACGAGTATTACGAGTATACATTTTAATAATTCTTTTTTTACTTTATTATTTTATTAATATTATTAAGTGTGTAATTGCGAGTTTATTAATCAGCCAAAAAACTTATCATTATAATAAACACTTATTATATTATATTATATTATATTACTTATATAAACACTTATCATTATAATATAGTTACGAAAATAGTAGATATAGTTAAAAATTAAAAAGTTAAAATAAAGTGTAGTATAGCTAAAAAAAATACCTACCTATTTCGTCTATACAGTATAATATTAATGATTAGCCGTCCCGTTGTAGCCAAGAACAAACTCAAAAATGGCAACAAAAAATAAAACCGTTACATTGGCGCTGAACCCTTTCTTTTAAAACTAAACACTGAAGAGCTTTAGTTTAAGCTAAATTTTGTTTGTCAGATCAAATGAATACTTCATTAATGAAACAAAAACCTACGCTCATCATAACTTTGGACATAAAATAAGCTCTCATTGGAAGTCTCTTGAAACGTATTTCGCCCAAAAATATTCCTAAAACTTTAGTGCTATAAAACTGTTGAGTCGTTATTTATTGTTATATTTTTATTAATTATTTATAAAAACTATTTAGAATCGAAAAATTCATCAAAAAGTAAAGTATGACTAATTCGCATCTTATATTAGATATTACGGTATGAATAAACGTTAATTGAAAAAAGTTGATGATACTTTTGTAAAGAGAAGATAATATAGGTCATAGTGTTTTTATACGTGTATAGAACGATAAATTATTGCTAACAAAATAAGATTTTAATTGAAGTTTGATTAAAGACATGTTTTGATAAATGCCATGATTTGTTCTATTTTCGTCAAAATTTGAACTGAAAATGCCATGTAAAAAAAAAACTACTACATTACGATCAACATTTCTTTTTTTTTATTTAATACTACTAAGAACAACTTATAATTAATCTCGTCTTCAATATTTTAGCATTTCTTTTCGGCTGAACAGTTTTATCCACATAAAACCAATTAAAAACTAAAAAAACTCGAACAAGTAAATGTCAATAAATAGTTCAAAAACCGGCAAACTGTTTTGAAAATTTAACCACGTCTAGAAAAAATCAAAATTAGTATTTTGTTTAAATTTTAAATAACTAATAATTATGTTTAAACAAAAAAACAAAATCGAAAATTATGAAACCGATATTGCCTTAAATGTTATTTTTTTTTTTTATACGTTTTTCTCAATTATTCAAAAAAACAATAAAAAACCGACCATTATATGTACCAACTGAATACAATTTTCTTTCATATAAGATGCTCTTTTTGTAATTCGGAGCAAGATTTCTATTAGAAAAGTGGTTTTCAGACAGAAAAAACACATAATAAAATCAACACCGTGAAAAAAAGTACATCTTAATAAACCTAATGGCTTCACGCTACAATCAAAATCTGAAAAAAAAAACTGTTAAATAACACTATTATTATATTATCATGTTTACAAAATATTATGTACTTAAGAACGTACCAACATTATTTCTAACGGCTCTTATACCGAAATGAATATCGTGTGATTTTCACGCTAAACCGGCGGAGTCTGCTGTACGCGCATAACTTCGTGTCACTTGTGGATGATAATACTACAGGGCGGTCTTTGCTACTACGAAACAATATAACGAATTCGTTTGGATTTATAGGGGTTTCGGAATGATATACGACGTAAAACTACCTACCCGTTATTATAATAATATAACATCTGCATATTCATATAACGACGCGTTAGGGAAAATGCAAAAGCTCGCGAGTCGCAAAATGACGTCAGAAAAATATGCGACAAAATAATAATTATATTATTAAAGAAATAAAAACCGTTTTTAGATTCTGCGTGCAGCGAGAAATATATTAGTTTATCTATGATGTAAACTCATTATTTCTTATTTTTTTTTGCAATATTTTGGACGAAATTTTGTACCTAACGCGTCTCTTTTGTTATCTGTTTTTATTCTTAATTCTTAACATTATTTTATTCTTTTGTTATCTAGTTGAAACACTAATTATTTACAATTGTATTAGTGTAATGGAATGTTTAAAGGTATATCGGTAGGTGTAAAGGCTGTAGCTAAGGGGGTTTGGGAGTTCTAACCCTCCCCTCCAATAACAGCCATGGTTATGTAGACACCTAATTAGTTGTTACCAGATAGGTAATTATACCTACTTAACAGGCACGTATACAAGGTGGGATTTAACGGTTCACTCCCCGTGACATTTTAAAAATGCCTTTAATACCTACCTTCTACCTATATTTCTACAGTTTAAAATGTTTAATTGCTTTACTTATGAAACTCCTCGAAAATTGTTTTTTTGTGCACATGCCTACTACTTAATGTTATTGTTTTTGTTCAAAACCCTTTAAATAAAAATACATAACTAATAGTAATAATTGCGTCACCAATAGTTATAAATTGAAACAATGTCATTATATATTAACTGAAACAAAATATTATTGTAACAATAATCCGTGCGATCTGTATGGACCTTAATGTTTATTTACGCATAGCAGCGTTTGAGCCTGTTGCAAAGCCGTTTAAAATACACCACAAAACCAAAAGACTCATAGACAACGGTGTTTTGTTCGATTCGATTCGATTGATTCGTACATACTGAGTCCGAAAATTATTGTTGGCATCTTTTCTAGAAAAATCAGCTCGTGTACGGGTTCGTTAATATCACCATTGTGTTGACCGCCGCTCACTTTGCAAACGGAAAAACGAATCGAACACAAAACTAATAACTATATTATGAGTACGGTACCTTCAAAAAACTGTTTGAAGTCTGTCATAATATATAAGTACACATTTAATATTGTGGAACAATAATTGTAGTTCAGCAACCTTTTTGATTTTTTTTTTTTTTTCAAAATACCAGAATCCTTTTATCTTTTCATCGGTACTTAGAAGGAATGGATTCGAAATAATTTGTTCCTTTAATTTCGTTCACTTTCCAGAAATTTTCAGGAACGATCTATGAATAAACGTATTAAAATTACGTTTACTTTTTGGAGAAACATAAACAATTTTTATCGTTCCTCCGTCGATTTTTTTTCTCATCAGTTTCATCGCCGTTTAAAATGAGTCTTGATGCATCTACTTCTAGATCTGATATCCACGAAGTTAAAATATAAGAATAATATTAGATCGTAAACAAAGAAAATAATGATAGAAATGGCACGAGTTAAAAGCTAAATAAAAGTTAGTTAATTTTTAAATAAAAACAAACTTCCTATTAAAAATGTATAATTTAAAAATAATAAATCAATGTTTTGTTAATATTATTTTGCATAAAATATATCAAAACCGTTTGTTGTTTATATCTTTTTTTTTAATATGTTATGTTTAGGTAACGGTTATATATTATGTGTTCAATTCTAAAACATAAAATTTCACATTTTTTTTTTTACTCTTTTACTACTCGTGAAAATATTTCACAAAAATTTGCATGTAACTCGATCAAAAATAACTTTTTCGTTCTGAAACTTCATAAATATTATAATATTTATAACTTCATGGGTGGTTGAAAAAAAACACAAAATTTAAAAATATACAGGACCAAAAGTTTTTTTTTTTTATTTGTTTATAACGAATATTTAATATTATGATGATAAAAAATCTTTTAATCAAACGTTTGTTTTATTTTCATCATAATTTTTTCCACGCATACTTTACGTTACGAACGAGTTTTGTTCAAACCGTTTGATATACGCGTATAGATTTTAGTAAAATCATTGCTCGCACAATTCGCAGATAAAATAAGAGTACTAACAGAGGTAAATTGACAGGTTGTAATGTTTACTGAAGAGGTAAGAGTCCATAATAGTGTCAAAAACTACTAAATATATATTAAGTAAATTTAGGCGAAAAGTTTTACTCAAAGTTCAATATCTGCAGGTTTTTAACATTTCGATTAATTTGAACTGTTTAGTTGAAATCGGTATGATGGAGGACAAGAAAGTTGGTTCCCCATGCAATCCCTTACACAAACAGCAGTTATTTCTGAAGATAATATTATAACGGTAAATTCGATTTTTTTTTTTTTTTTGTTTAATTAATTCTATAGTTGTTTATGAAAACCAATAGAGCCACATTGCAGTATCCTGAAATTCTCGTAACAATAATGATAATTTGATTTTCTGAAACCATTTGAATTGGCATAAATCGAACTTGGGTCGAGTTCAGGGTTTATAAAGTATATAAAGTATACGTGAGTAACCTAATAACAAACAAGATGCCCGGTGTCGTTTCTCGCATTGGCTTTATGCAAGTTCCGTAATATTATACAATTTGTGTACGGGAATTTAGTCGGCAAAACAATCTGTGGTCTGTATATTTCAGTCCGACATTTACAAAGACCAAAAGGGTTTTCGGTGTCCAAAAAATGATTATTACCATTCTGAAAATACGTCACATAGTATATTTATATATGTATCGGAAACCGTCGAAAATCAAGTAAAAATTTACTCTAAATCATTTCAAAGAATCGTTAAACATGACATTTGTTACGTATACTTCACGCGGTTGAAAACGGACGACGGTTTTGTCGATAAAACACGCGGAAATAACTGACCTCAGCTCCGTCCTGCCCTTCACCACCGCACCGCACCGGGTCGTCACGCAGACAATAAAAACGAACCTATAAACATATAATAATAATACCACAGGGGGTTGTTTTCAATCGGCGTAAAAGTCAGCCAAGGTCATATCGTGGACTCCTATGAAGGTCGTGTCAATAAAAATAAAAAATAATAATAATAATAAACAAAAAGGTCCTGTAAATGGCCATCGCGACGAACGGTCAAATAAAAAAATCCGGCGAAATTTCATACTAGAGACCTGCCTATTATAATATTTTTCCAGTCCATCCGTGTATTTACAATTTAACTGGTCGTGATGGCAACGACCATAAAACACTCGACGTTGTTACGAACCACGCGAGCCCAATTAATTTTCGGGTCCGCGATCACCGAGACTTACCAGCAGAAACGGATGCTATGGGCAGTGTAAGCATCGAAGGGCAATTTAAATTTTATAAAGTACGACGTCCTTTTAGATTCTAAACGTATTGAAAAACGTATTAATTGTATGGGCTGTCTGTGTATTTTATAATCAATGAATTTACCAAGGTGCGTGGGTTTGTTTTTTTGTTTTTCTTGGAAAACCCACTTTCGACTATGGTATAAAATTATTCACATCAAACCTTAAGAGGTTTATTAGCTTGGTAGTATTATCTTCTTTAAAAACATTTTTTGGGATCTTCAATGGTTATTTTAAGCAACTCATATGACTGATAACTAATTTAGATACTTTGATTTTGTTCATTTTTGATTTCTAGGTTACCTCGTCGACAAGAGGAAAATACAACTAATAATAATGCTTATAACTAGGGTTGGCGTTTGAATACACTTTGCGCTATTTTCCAAAGCTTGCGTCGAGTTTGATTGTGCGAGCACACGGTTGTTCTGTTATAAATTCGTTTCGTGTATTTTCAAATGACACTGATAAATTTGATTTTGTATTTTTGAAAGGTTTTTATTTTGAAGACATTTTTTTGATTTTTTAGTGCATATTTTTATAGGTATATTATTTTAAAATTGTAGATTATTTTTGAATTAAATGTGATATTCTACATTCCTATCCCTATTTATACAATTTTAAAAGTTTACCGAAGCTCGCTAAAAACCGTTTTTTGATGACTGTGATTTATCGTAGCTTTTTAAAGTATATAAACTAAATTGCCTTATTTTCTGCAGGATTTCAAAAATATGGGTCTAAAGTACATACCTATGTCTTTTTATGGCATCATTCCTCATCATTCCTCCGTGAGAAAATTAAAAAAAAAAAAACCATTTAACTACCCCGTGAATCGTGTGTTTTCCGGTGCAATAATAAAAGTACACCTAGATTTTCAAAAAAAAAAATAATACACGCATGTTATTGTATAATATATTAATTAATAAAATTCCAAAAAAAAAAAATTCGTATGTAATTTTAAGTCGAATTTACGAGGGTAGGAACGTAGCTGTAGCGGAAGTTTGTTCATTGTATAGTAACATAATTGATAATTATACGAATATGTCGAGTATCGTGAAACGGTTTTTTTTTTTAGACAGCCGTCACCGTGACCCCGTGATGTGCGTTAATATCATAGTTGGCGTTATATACGGTATTCATCGCACACGTGTATAGTCGCGATAAAAATCGACTTGAAATTCGCACGTCGGCGGTAAAAAGTTGAAAAGGATCGATGCAGAGACTTTGTTCGGCGATGCGGATAAAATTTGGTTTTGTTCCACGTGTCTCTCGTATTCACTAAATCACACGATACGTATATGTTTATACGTTTTGTTTTCAGACCGCAAACTTCGCATAAGTAAGAAAAAAAAAATATTTTATAAGTAATAATAATAATTACCTACTGTCTAAAATCGATTCGGTTTGTAAACTGTGTATTTGTAAACTAGTAAGTATCGTACAGACGCACCCGGATTTTAGTTTGTAGTGGAGCTTCGTAAGAAAATATATATATTTGATTTTGGAGAGAAGGGGTATAAGCCCCAATTATTTGAGTAAACCCCTGACGAGTCTACTCTATTATAATTTGATAACATTATAAAAGACATTATATATACATATATAATAACATGACCTGCCTGACTGACAGACTGGCTGATTGATTCATCATCGCCTAGCACAAAACACTGGACGGATCAGGTTGAAATTTGACATACAGATAGCTATTATGACGTAGGAATCTACTATGAAATCCATTTTAAGGTATTTTCGGTACTAACTGTTTATTTATTTATTTTTGTTTATTCATGGGTTACCTTGTCGACATGGAGGACAATTCGGTTGTCATGGACAAGAAAACTATTATTATTATTATTATTACGAGTATTTACACTATTATTAAGCAATAGCAAAGTATTGCCGGGTGATCTTGTATACTATATACATGGCGGTGAATTTGTCTACTTTAATGTTTACTCAGATTTATTTCGGTGTAGTCGTTTTCATGTATTTCACTACCGATAATAACTATGATAGATTTAGCCTCGTAATAAATATTCATAATTTATAATTTTAATAAAAGTACTCCAAACGTATTCGAAAACTTTCGAAACATGTATTCTACGTATATCTATTTAAATACTCATAATACAAAAGTAATAGTTTTTTATTTCATTTTTAAAAAACCTTATTGTATAACGTTTTAATTTATAATAATATTATTATGCTATTATTAAATATTGGCGATGCACAAAAAATAAAATTCGATAATATTATACCCAAGTCAATATCAATACTTGATTCTCGATTCATTTGCTTGAAAACACTAACATTAATAAGAATGACTGTATAATATTACAGTTTTAATTTCAATTATTTTATAAATATAACTGTGTACCTGTGTTATTTGTACTTATCTTTTGTCAAAAATTTTGTATTTTTACAAATCTCATAATCATATAACAGATATATTTCCCAAGGAATACTTACACGAGTCTTGTTCTTTTCCTAATTATTTTACATTCAATGAGTAAAATATACAAAATACTTTTATTAATGTAATAGACAATTTAAAAAAAAAGCAACTTTTAATTTAACATGAGTTATTTTCATAAATATTTTGTAACTTCACTTAATAGTTACTCAAATTAACTTACATTTTAACTTTTAACTTTATTTTATTATTATTTTTAGAATTTTCCATGAAAATAAAAATTACATAATTGTATTGTTTATTATATACTCATATATCTTTATTCCGGTACATTTGGATATATCGAGCGGCTCCCATTAGAATAAAAGTGGTCAAACTTGAGAACTGATCTTTACTGAATGAACTATGAAGTAATACAATGTTGTATAAAATTCAATATGATTTTCGCCGTGTTATTACGGGAAGAGTGTGTTTTTTTAGCATTGTACATTCTAAAAACCCCAAATAAAACTATGACGAGAACGATATGTTATATATGCATGATTAAAGTATCAAATATAAGTGTTTTGGTGTTTTCAACTTTTAACCCTCTCTCCAACCATCTGTATGTACATATTTCATATTTTCACAGTAAATATCATTATAGACATAGAAAAGTAAATAATTTGATTCAAGTGTGTGTGTGTGTGTGTGTGTGTATGTAGGTATAAATAGAATTTTTGTCGAGAATTTGCTTTTAGAATATTTAAACTTACAACCCCAACCTCACTATCTGTTTTTATGTTGTAAATCTCAAGAACTATCTTACTTATACTGAAAAACTCTTTTGTTCAATTCTTTATCATTATAAAAAATAAAAACATAACATATTGAACTGCAAAAAGTCAGCTTGGAAAAAATGTGTATATTTTAGGATACTTACTTTAAACTAGTTGAAAAATTGGTTAATTTGTCCAGGTATAAAAACAATATTAGTTAACATTTTTGATAATGAGTTCGAATACCTGCCTATATTTTATAACCTTAATATTTGTTCATTAAATCAGTATGTAAGTTACGATACTGAAAATCGAAAAGTATCGACAGCTAATAATAATATGTTAATGCAGATAACGAAAAAAGAACCTTTTTTAATAATATCATACTCGGGTCATTTTGATGCGATTTAAACCGTTTCCCGACAGCTATACTGTTGGACTACGAGAACCCACTTTGTGGAGAAAGTAAATACCCATATTATTGTGTTTGAATAAATCAGTCATAGCACCGCAATTATTTATTTCGAATTTACCGGAACGTTTCATTACCGTTCTAATATTCTGTAAGTCGTATAATTTCTTATCGTTAACGAATATTATTATTAGGGGAGTTTTTGCCCGACACCCGTTAAAAATCAATTCCGGAGATACTACGTTATTACGCGTATATCATTAAAATAATAATAATAATAATAATATTATCTCATTTCCATTTTGTTACCGAAAATTATCACGTTTACGGACGGCTTTCATAAATATCATGAACTCCTTCCGAAATACTATAAATTATTATTTACGGGAAACCGGACGAACGGCAGAGTTACCCGCGCATATAATAACTAATAAATACTATATTTTACGAATTGTTGTCATCGCGTTATCGTACCATAAATCCGAGTACACCGTTAATATTATAATATTATAGCTAATAGTAATAATTTACTCCACTCGAAAATGACCGTCATTTATATAGCTAGGCATATATATTTTTTTCTTTTACATTACTTAATAATTATTGCAAAATACAGAATCGTCGAGTGAGCTACCAGTATTGCCCACATTAAATTATTCTTACTACTTATTTGGTTACAAGAGTGGACAATGACCTTACTGATTTATCAAGTTCTGCTCAAAATCTTTTTTGGGAAGCATTGGTTTATCAGTACTTTCAGTATACCATATAAATCCTGTGTCCAATACTTTCTGAACTCTCTACGATCAACAATTGCCGTAAGCAGTATCAACTTTTTATTATTGTGTTTTTACTTGTTCTGTTTAACGTTTAAACGTAATTTGACAATCATTATGGTATGTTTAACTGAAAATAAATGGTGCGAATTGCAAATCCCGGCTTGTTTATGATAATTATTATATTCAAATAAACCGTGTGAATTTTCAGTGTTTACCTTCGTTTCATGCCGAAATAATGAACTAATTTAAATTTTGTTTTTTGGAAAATTTATATTATGTACATTATTCCTACATAAAGACTATATTTTTCAAAACTTGGAATGTTTGTGTTATGTCATTTCAGAAGTATTTCAAGACATTATTAACTATTGTTATACAACCGAGACACCATAAGATTTTTTACGAATATACCATGCAAATATCGGAAAAACAGTGAAATAACTAAGAAAACCGGTAGCTTAAGCGGCCAAGGGTCATTAGGGAAGATATGAATACATGTAGAGCAGGTCAAAAAAATGGTGTGACGGAGCCGTGGAGTACGAAAGTAGATGATTCCACCAGCTTGCTAAATGTAAACAGGAAGAAGAAGAAAAGAATACTCTTCTGAACGTTCCCTAAGTGATTTATTTTTATCACTACCTACATGTAAAACATAACGATATCTAACGATAAATCTGAGGAGACGTTTGCCAGTTTTGGGATGAGTGTACACGGCACTCGGGGATATCGCCATCCCGACGACCTGGAAAATTGCCCAAATGTATAGCAATAACAATATAGTAAGTTTGCGGCAGCAATAACTCTCGGTATATAAACTTACGATGGATATAATATATAATCACATTAACCCCCGCACCTGGTCGCATAGAAGAACGCGTTCGATGCGGTAGGACGAAGACGACACAAAACATCGCGTCGTCGTCCATAATTACATTAACCGGTGTGTTATATAACAATTTAATATTATAGTCTACAAACAGATATTGCAAATTTAATCTATATGCCATTGGATGACCGCGAGAATTCCTTTGAACTATATACCTGTCTACAATAAGAGTTTACGTAAAGTTTTCGTTGGCGGTTTAACGACTGCCAACCATGATGTTATTGTTCGAAACGTATACGATATAACCCTCGGCAAATTTCCACAAGAGAATAATATTTATACCGTGGCGCGTATTCATAAGCATCGGTGAATTTATAAAGTTTATATGCCTAAAGTTGCACAGGTACCTAAAATATTTCGTTAAAGTATAGTAATGGCAACATATGCCATTTTATGCGAGCTGTGGAGTTATAATAATATTGTGTTATCAAATTTAAGTCTATAATAACATATAGGTACTAATTTAAATAAATGTTTTGAACACTGATATTTCGCATTTGAAATCGTTCTTAGAAATGGAATAAAAATAAAAGTAGCAGTGTAATATTTTAAGGTGGTTTATAATCAAGTTGGATAGAATTAGAAATCCTGAGAAATAGCATGGACATATTGAGAGTAAGATAAAAGTCATAAAAATAGGCAAAAATATTAGACTAGATGGAAGTCAGAAGATGGAGGTAGGCCGAAAAAAAAAAGGCGACAGGAAGTTATTATCATTACGGGGATGATATAAGAGCACATGAAGTAGATGAGGAAACGGTTATAGATATAGAGTGATGTAGAGGACAAGACCTAGAGTAGGTTTTAAACGAAAAAGGAGAAGACTATAGGTACTTGATATTAAAATGTTGAGGAAAGTTTGAGACTCGTAAAAAGTATTAAAAGTTTTACTAGTTATATGGTATATACTTAGATATAGTTAGCGATTTCATAAAAAAAAAATTGTAGCAACGTTAAAAACCATCATTCTAACGTGCACTTTTTGTAGGAACGATGGCCTGTTATGGACAACGATGAAAAGCGATTCGATGGTTTCCGCCGATCGGACCACCGCGCACGACCATGAACGAATACTCCGTAAGTACCTACCTAACACAGACAAATTTCTTGGAATTCATCTATTCGTTAGGTTAGCTATGTAAAAAAAAAAAAAAAATATATCGCGTCTAGTAGATTTCTGATTACGGAGTAGTGCAACGAGAGAGACGGACTACGTGACTGTTTTATGGGATTACACAGTTAAATTTACAAACGACGTGGTTCTTGTGCGTGAACGATTTCCATCGAAAACGTGCGCATACCACATTCCTATACTGTACAAAAATGAATCAATAATAATAAAAAATAATAATACCGGAGAGAATATGAAATCAAAATCTCACTAGCCTATAAATAATATTATACAGGAAATGAAAAATTGTTGAAATATCTAGACGATGGGATATTCGTAATTTATAAAAATAAAATGTGAAATACAAAAATATTCATAAGTATAGGTATAGTTGTTGTATTTGAGAACATAAAAATGTTTAATAGCTTGTAAATCCCGTTTTATAACTATATATAATCATTGAAGTTATCTTAGTTAACGGAATAAGTTCATACCGTTTTTAATAATATACTCTTTAAACATGTTTTTTTTTTTTCAAACGATTTAATAGATTTTTGTTTTTGTCAAATTTTTCTCAAAAATCAGGATCTTAAAAATCATCTTTTTTCCGATAGTTTTGCATATAATTTTTTTTTTTATTTATTCCAAATTTTAATAAAATTATACATTTTGTGACATCTAAAAGTATAATCAAACTTCACTCAGAATCGTATTTCGTTTTCAACAATTAAATTTTTAATTTATTTCTGTTTAAATTTAATTCATGTTTATTTTCTTGTTTCATCATTGGGTTAATATGTATTCATTATGTGTTTCCATGTCCGACGTTAAAACTTCGATACTACAGTGTTTTAAGTGGCTGTAATAAATACATCAAGTCGTCGAAAAGTACTTGGAAACTCTTTGACCGTGATGATGTTTGTTTTTGGGGCGGTGACTGCCACGTGCAGTGACAAAATAAAACTGTTCAAGATTTTTATTTTATTTTTTTCTAATCATGAATATTTTAGCCGGTTTATTTTGTTAAGCCAATATAAACTCTGTTAGAGCGAATTAGTTTTTTTTAAAAGATTAATTTACTGTAGGTGGGTAGGTAAGTAGGTATTTTAAAATCACAAATAGAAAATATATAATATAATTAAAACCATTGGAAAAACATTCATTAACATAATATGAACGGAAACGACGAAAAAGTAATATTAACGAATAAACATAGGAAAAATAATGTTTGTTACCAAACTAAGCGGTTTAAATATTTTAAAAATGTATTATCTAATATACATAACTGTCATTAACTATACAGTTGTGGTTTTAGATTCTGAGTGGAGCGAGGAATATAATGGTTTTACAATGATTTTTATTTATTTTTTTTTTCTATGGACAAATTTTCTACCAGCAGTTTTGCTCCGATTTTCAAGTATGGCACTTTTCCTGAAAAGAAATCTGACTGGGGTGGTTCCTTTAAGTAAATCATTTTTTGATTTTCTCAAGATTTTCCCCAATAAATGGAAAAAAACAGGGAATAAACGGAAAAATGTACGAAATGTATTATTTTAAAATCGTAAACATTACGACCTTTTAAAACATGTACAACTGACTCCGCTTAAAATCGTTTTTCTTTAGAAAAAATTAATTGTTGCGTACAGATATACGTTATATTCCCCTATATATCATATCTGGAGGGATTAGATTTCGTGTGAAGTATGATCATATATTTTTTTTTAATGTCTTTTCATACTTATTACTTACATTAATTACCGAGTGAAAAATTACGCTTAATAATATTGATTGATCCATCCGTCAACAATCCCTTCAATAAATGATTAATAGTTTTGTATAAGTTATATACGTATATTTGTTTGTTCATTTTCAGCCCAGCCAGAAGATATTTTGTCATTGTTTTTCCGTTTTATATGTATATATTTATTTCACCAAAGTACCTAAACTTTTTGTAACATAGTTAACGTGGTATTCAAAAGTTTTACGATTCAATTTTATAGATGTCTAATCCTAGGTTACAACACTATATAACTGAACACAATGGTACTTCAGAGACATATTATAATTTTATTCTTTTAACTTAGTGTCCCGAAAATTGCGAAACGCTGAAAGCACGAAAAGAGCAAATATTATAAACAAAATTCTATATTTAAATTCAGACCGTCATATTTAAACTTGTCTTCTTAATGTGAGGATTATTAAATTTGAATTTTTTGGACTTAGCATTTTTTTTAAAAAACGCGTACTTTTTCACCCTGAATAGTCTATTCGAAATTAGCCGTTCCTATATTAAACTTTATCTCCCAAAATGCTGTCAGTACGACAGTACGTTACTGTTACCTAAAATGGTTTTAGTAACACCTATTGTTACGGGATACGTAGCTTATTCTTAAACTTTTATTTCATAGTTAAAATTAATTAAATTAAAAATGAAATACAAACGAACATACTTCGCACGACGGGTGGGCCACTGTTGTATGTGAAAAGTTAGGAAGGTAAAAGGGAAATTTAATATATAATTATATACGGAAAGACTAATCAATGCTAGTGAAAAACGATTCTGAGCTTAGTTCATTTACAAATATAAGAAAAGGCCGTAATATTTACAATTTCATAACGATATATTTTGTATATTTTCCCTCTTTTTCTAAATTATTTCCATCTATTATGAAAACTCTTGGGAAAATCAAAAAATGACCTCCAGTACTAATACAGTCAGATTTCAGGTCATATTACCAAGTCTCTACATGTATTTATAACCAAATTACAGCAAAATACCTCCCAAAAATTAAAATTCCTTTAAAGCTCAAAAGTGACTCAAAATTTTTAGCGATGATAGCATAAGAAAGTTAATCAAAAAGGCAACAAAAATGGTGTTTAATAATTTTTTCTGGTAGAAAACGTCGTCCGTGTTTTTATAAAATAATGAAATCATGAAATTGTATGTTTTTCCACATTTTTTCCCCACTTAAGTGCTTTTATTTAAAAAATGGCATCGAAAATCAATGACCTCTCGTTAGTATCATATAGACAACTTGAGCTTTCAGAAAAGTTGTAACACGTAAAAACCGAAGCAAGTTTACTAGGAAAAAACGTGTCCACAGACTACAACAAAGAACAAAGAAAAAAAAAAGACATAAACAACATTGTAAAACCAATAGCTCACTCGCTATACTCGGAATCTAAAATCAATTGATAATGTTAAAAAAAATGTTAACGCTTATTACTTATTGTACGTAATATTATAGGTATATTAAAGTTCGTCTTTAGAGTTATAATACAAAATTTAACAAACAGCTTGCCTGTTTTAATAACGGGTTAGAGTTTTTGAAACGCGTTAGTTTTATTGAACAAAATAAATAAAAAACTCGGACAGTTGACAAAGAAAGTAATAACACGACGACGCCTAGTGTTTTTAAGACAACGAAAAATAACATTGCCTGTTATCAACCGACCGCAAATTCCATAGTTGTATGTGTCTTGCTTGGCTTTTAAATTTTATACAATATTACACAGAGTGATTATTTTATCATCACGAACCAGCGATTATCTACATACTTACAAAAATGTTGTTTTTTTCAATCGTTATTATTGAATTGTTCAATGGTCTTCTTATTTGGCATTGTTTTTAACACATTTAACCTTATTTGATTTACCACTGACGCAATGTATCAAATTATGATTTAAATTTGTATAGTTACTGATAAAAACGATATAATTTTGGAGCCAAAGTAAATTTTAATTCGATCATTATAAACGCGACTGTATTATATCTGAAAATTAAACAAAATCGAATATACTCGAAATCTTCGTAAATAACCGCGCTGGTTCGTAATTAAAAATATCACCGTGTATCATAATATAGTAAATACTATACTATATTATAATATAGTAGTAAGTCAATGTTCGTTTTTTCGATATTTGTTACCGATATAAAGCCGATGCCCGATCCGATATCTGAAAACCGTGAGTTGTTGATGAAATTAATTGATCGATATTTTAAATACTTTTTCTTTATTTCAGAGATACTTGCACTATAGTCAAATATCGATTTTGATAAAACAAAAAAACTCGATATCCAATATTCCGATACTCTCAATATCGGCCAGCATACAATATCTACCTTTTTATTCGATTGCTATTTTAAAGGGCAATCAATATATTTGATAAAATTTGTATTCTATTGCAATGGATATCTGAAATTACCCGTCAAATGCAAAGAAAATAACGTTGTATCAAAAAAAATCCATTCAATTTCAGAATTCACAATTTATACCTTCGTAAAATATTTGAACCGCTGATTAAAATTTAGTTTATAAATTATATGATATTAAAAAGAAAAAAATGCAGTATTATTATTATTACAAATAAATATTTATTGAATGATACAGTAGTTTTAAGACCAAGTACAAAATTATTGTTACCGTGGCTGTAAAATAACGGAGAAGCATGTTGGACATAATATTAGTAGGATTGCACACAGGAATAAAAAAAATAATCAAAATAAAAATCACTTATAAACCATCTATTGACTTGAATACTAGATAAAGTGTATTAAATATATATGGACTCTATGGACATGATATATATTATATATATATATATAGGCTGTGACATAATATAGTTGTATGAGATAATAAGCAGTGCGATTCTATGGCATAAGTCATCATAAGTATAAGCATCATCTTACGGTGAGCTTGAGCATTTTATAATGTTCGATAAATCTTGGTGTGGAATAGTAACAGACTAGAAAATTTTAAAAATAATAAGGGAAAATGAAAACTTCAATATATTTTACCATATATAAGAGACAGTATTATGATCTATTACACACTGATATAGACGTGATGGTTTGTTTAAATTTATTGAAGATTCCGTAAACAGGAAAATTATGAGAGGAACGTCAAGGATATGGAATATAAACCGAAAATGATTGAGAACATAATATTATGGGAATGAAAAGTTATCGTGAGTTGAAGAATTTTCATTTGGACGAAAAAGCACAGAGAGCTGCAATAAACCAATCAAAATACTGACGACGAGAAAAAGAAGGTATAGTAGTTTTTTTAGCGAATTTAATTTAATAAAATATGTGTATGAAGATAACAGTAACTTTTTGAAACTACCGTAAAGGGAACTCAATAAGAAAAAAATCCATAATAATGTCATATTTGTAGGGCGAAAAATGTAAAATTTCTAAAATAGTTTTACCTTCATCAAAAAACATGACAAATCAAAGTTAAAGTACTACGATTTTCGCCCATGCCAGACGATGATTGATTATTTTTGTACAACAGATGTATAAGAGACCTCTATACACTTGGCAGTTTGACAACATTAAAAGTGAAAATCGTTTATTTTTTTTTAAATTTATGTTACCGTTGGAAAATCGACCCGCAAGTCCGCTAATAAAATTAATCGATTACGGATTAATTATGATGTGTAAGCATATAGTGTATAAATGAACTCGTGAAGGGGGGAGATCGGACATGCCACCGCCCCGCCGGGTCATTAGTAAATAATGTTTAAAAAGTTATTCAGAGTCTAATTAATAGAAGTAAGTATAAATAAATACGTATCCGCTTAAAGTTCATAATTTATTATATACAGAGTGTTTCACTCGAATGGTAACACGAAGTATTTCAGCCGGATAGATTTAAATCGAAATGGGTTTTTAATTTGTTTTTTTTTTTTTTTTTAATTAGTTAGGGCGCGTAAAAATCACATTTTGAGCCAATTTTCAAGATTAAAACTCTTGATTTGGATTGATGCACAGTAAAACTCTTAAATTTCAAAATCAATTTGTAGCTGAAGATTGGAAGTCTTTTTTCCTATCTAAAAGATTTCCTAAAATACATCAAGCATCAAAAAAATAATTTAAAAATATTTTTTTCTCGATTTTTCAAAAAAACCTATACTATATGCGATTGTTTATTACGTATGTGTAATTTTATGATTAGCTTTACTCATAATTTTTTTTCATTTTTAATGTCACGAGTTTTAAATTTTTAGGAAATAAAAATAAAATTAGACGGCTGTACATCAAGAAATTTTAGAAATAAAAAAAAATTGTGAAAATCGTAGTTGCTTGAAAAAAGAAAAATTATAAGCCGAATCTTATATGGGTATTAATAAAAATAGATTTTTACTTAAAAAAATTTAAATTTGATTGCACACGCACATATCGCAAGGTTGAACTTTTTGGAAATTAGCTGAAAATATTGTATATACCATTACACCCTATCGTCCCGAAAAACTCTTAACAGTCCACCCAGCTAAAGTATTTCGCGTTACCATTCGTGTGGAACATACTGTAGATATAATACATTATACGAAAACCCTTTTTGCACGCACGTAAACAGAACGTTTAGGGGATCGGTATTATAATGAAAATATAATAATTTTATATCAAATGCGTTGATTAAGCTATTCAATTAAATGTTTTATCGTAATTAAAATCGTAGGTAACTGCTGCACGACGCAATACAATTACAAAAAGTTTCGTAGTTAAAAATTAAAAAAAAAAAAATATAATAATAAAAAAAATGTTATCTAAGTACAGATATTACGTACAAAAAAAAAATTTTAAAAATACAATTTAATAAGCGAGATAAAATTCACGCGGAAAACTATATAAATACATAAATAAAAATTATACAATATTATATATTATAATAAACCGTAATGCAAAATTACTTATGCGGCATAACTCGTCGTTTTTACAACGGATAATATTTTTATTTCGGGCATCGCCGCCGTAAAGAGATAGCAATCAATTATTATTAGCCGCACGATAGTCGTGGATATTGAAAATTACAGAGTTTACGCGAATAAAACGCATTATTATCTTATATTTTGTATAAATTAACGAAAAAAAAAAAAAAAAAACACTGCCCTCCCATACCCCCTTAAAAAACCGAATATCATTATTATTATCGATAATTCAGTCGACACCTATGAATACCGTACGAACGTCCATCTAAACTAATAATAATTTTACTTATTATCGGTGTTCCCTCGTTATCGCGACGATAACATTCGAATTCATTTGGGGAATCCATTTAAGGGGTTGCGTATTGTATAATTATAGTTGGCTAAAGGCTTGTTTAATGGAATATTTTATTTTGATACAAAATACTAACATATTTGACCGAATCGAAAGCGTTCAATTAAAATATGCACAATGATAATAATTAGTACAGTGTCGTAAGAATAAACCATGTACCAATATAAAAAGTTAATGAAATATTTTATTAAAAAAAAAATCAAAAAAAATATTATCAAAATATTATTAATGGTTAAAAAGCCGCGTTATGAAAACCTATATCCGATTTATTTTTATTTTTCTACGTCCTCTTCATTGTTCTGCTAGCCTTTGTACCGCTGAATACAGTGCATACTATCATTTCTTAGCTATTCTCTGCAACTTCTCTCCGCTAGGTTTCCGACTCCACTGTCTTAAAGTCGTTCTTAACACGATCTTAACCCCCTTTTCCCTAAATAGTCTTTTTTTTTTTTTTTCAATTATCCGCTTAACTAAATATTTCGTCATACGTGGCCCGCCCAAATTAGTAAACTCTTTTACTGGGATCGATTATAACGAAGGATAATAATATAAAAATGGAGATATCGACGAAAATACAACTAGCAAATAAATTATATTATAGATGACAAAGAATTATTACTAGATCAAAGACGTTTTCTAATAGACTAAAAATAATTATGTAGGCATAACATTATGACATTATTACAACCAATTGTTTGGCCCTGAGGTATGGCCGCTGAAAAAAGCCGAAGAACTGGCATTAGTATACACATCCTTCGAGCCCTGTGTATAGTCTGTTTTCCACTGATGTGAGTGTGAACTTTTGAAGATATTGATTAAAAGGCTTGCGTACAGAATTCAACAGTAAATTATTGCAGTAAAAAACCGATTATGAATTTGTTGAACTGGTAAGGTTATCAGGAAAAGCTGTCGGAAACCTAAAAAATGTAATTCAAATAAAATTTAGCCGGGAAACAAATCAGCATTTTTTTATGATATGGCATGCAAAAATCAGAACATTTTTATTAATCGAAAAAATGTTTTCCAAGAAAGAACCATCTCAATCGAACACTGCACTCGAAATCTAAAAATAAGTAAGCGCGAAATATTATCAAACATGAAAAAAAAAATTGTTTAAATAACATAAATACAATTAGTACAACAACGAAACCTCCCCCCCCCCGTATATCCTACTCTTTGGTAAAATGCAGATGAAATTTTTTAAACGTGTTTTGTATTTATATGTTTATATGAATATCTAAATGGTAAACAATGTATTAAAACATAATTATATAAATAATTTTATTTTTATTTTTCGGAACCCAAAATTTCTTATGTGTATAATTATTATTACTCGTGAAAAAAGTCGGCATAAGAATAAAAAACAGAAATCGTCGAGTACGACAAAAAAAAAAAAAAGTAGACGATAGTAATGTTTTTTATTATTATTATTATTATTATTTGTATATATTTTCAATATAAATCGAGCTCGAAAATTGTATGTAAAACTCGTTTAGCTGATTTTTATTCCCGCGGCATACAACAAAGTCAGGTACAGAGGTTCTATAAGCAAATAAATCGTTTTTATATACAAACGTTTAATTTAAATCTTTCGTTCTGTCCTTGTCGTCGGTACATAATATTCGCTCTGACGGATTTGAACGCAAACAGAAAAAAAAAGCTATCGTACCAAAAACAATATATTTCACAGATTACAGGGTGATCCCCGTGTTACGGAGTATCTTTCAAACGTTTTGAGTAAATTTTATTTATGATTTTTTTTCTCTTTAAGACATTATTATAAGAAAGTTTTTAATTATCTAGTTTACGTTATTTTCGAAAATTTACGCTTTTTCCATATTATGCATACATCCAAAAACCCGTCTCGACATTTGAGATTTTCTATTGGGCAGGTATAGTGCCTTATATCAACATATTTTTATCAGATTCGAGTTTAAAAAACGTGGACGGTGAATGAAAAAAACGAAAATCCAATTTACTCTAAACGGACACGAAGTTCACTGAACAATGAGCCTAAGTACAATAACATAAAACACCCATTTTTCTGTAGGAGAAGGGGGGAGGGATGAATGCGTTTAATTTTAGTCGACGACGTTTGTTCGAATATTTTGGTAGTTCATCGCCTCGTGTTTTCATTTTTTTTTTTTTCGAACAACAATCAGATCAATTTGGATCAAAAATTTTAATTTAATGTGTACCAATATAAAGCTTTCATAAAAAGACTATTAAAATATTACATTTTATTTCAGATGTCTTAAATTTTAAAGAACACATATAAAGCCTGCAAAGAAATTCAAATTCAAAATGTGTATGCAAATTCCATTTTAAAAAAAATCTGTTTAATTTAAGGATATTGTTTTTTTGAATTATTTATCTACTATACAAATGCTTTATTTCGTGCCTATCGCAATCAGAATATTATTATTTGATAAACGTCGAAAGACAACAAATTCGAAAAAAAAAATCCAATTTATCGACATTTTATTTCTCTTGAAGTGAATTTAAACATAAATTGATAATAATATTTTGTATTTTACTAAATTTGGTTTGTAAAACTAGAGAACACCATGGGGGCTTTCCTCCACTTAACGATTTTATTTCAAAGATATTACCGAAATTCCAATGTATTAAAAATAGAACAGTACTATAGTATAGTGGCGTATTTAAAGGTGGAGGTAGAAAAAACAATTTTCTCGGGTGGTAAAATTTAAATAATTTCAAGAGAAAATTTTTAGAGGAAACAGAAAGCGAAATCTGGGCAAGAAAAACAATAAACATATAAAAGAAAATGAACCTGCCCAAGTAAATGAGAGGAAGTGATAATTTTGTTTGGCCAGGGATCTACAAATCATATGTGTGTCACTTATAAAATTATAAAAATAAAAGTTTAAGAATTATAAAAAGTTATCTGAATATAATTGTGGTCATAATGTATGCCTAAAAATGTATCTATATTCGATTGTTTCAAAATCAGTTTTACACATTGTCGTGGACATTTTTGAAAATGTCCAGTTGCCGCATTCAGGCCTGTTAGCGCGGGTTTGCATACTCGACACGTGGAACATATTGAATTTGAAAAAAAAAACCGAACGACTAGGCGTGTATTATAGTAGTTACGCGCATTCATAAATAAATAATATACATAGGAAAGTGAAAATATGAATAAATTAAAAAAAAAAAAAAATGAAAAATTGGATTCGAGCGCTTTATGAATTAATAATTATACAGTTATTATTATTCTCGATTATTGCGTCTCCTGTATCCGAGACCGTGGACACATCTGTACAAACAAAACGAAAACCCATTAAACATCAATGCCTGCGGTGGACAAACACCGCCTCCGTCCGGATTCATATTTAATTCAAGACTCAATTTTGCGTTTTTTTTTTTTCTCTCCTTTTTTTTTGTTCATAATATCCAACACTCTAAACTGTTATATAGAAATGCATTATTTTTATATTGACATTGCTGTATATAAAATCGTCCGGGACCCCGGAAAAAGGTGTATCCGGACGGAAAAAAGAAAATTGCTATACCCTGTATAATATATTATTATCCCTATATAACTATAGATCGTACAGAACAAATCGCTGTGGCGAACTGCACAACCGATTTCGCCCGAACATACACTTTAATAGAGTTTAAAAAAATAAAAAACACTATAGATATTCCAACTAGAAAATATACAAATTAAATGAAACGAAATAAATTTAGCCCTCAATAATAATTATTACAATGAAATAATAGAGTACCTAATAAATTAATAATATTATTGTATTTTATGTATGCGTGACTATATTTTACCTTATAATAATAAATGTCTAGATAATAAATTATAATTTATTTAATTCAAATTACTTAACAGAATTGGAAATGGTTTTCCAAATTTTATCGGATTTTATAAACTTAAAAAAAAAAAATATTCACCTTTTAATGATAAAACTTCTACTAAAGTAAACGTCAGTTTTTACAAACCAATATGACATTTTAAACCAATAAACTGAAGTAAACTTCATCCACTGCCGTATGCTCGTTCAATTTTAGATTTTGAATGTAGGGAAGAATGTATTGATTTTACAAAGATATTTATTTTTTTATTATTTTTTTATGTGAACACATTTTCTACCAGATAAAGCTTAGACCGATGCATAAGATGTAGACCATTTTCTGAAAGGAAATTTTCTTAGGGTGGTACTTTAAGGGGGTCATTTTTCGATTTATCCAAGATTTTTCCCAGCAAATGTGAAAAACGGGAAAAAAATGGGAAACCGGGAATAGTGTAAAACGTAGGAATATTTGGAAAATTGGTTGTTTAATACTAAACAAATTGTGTTAAAGAAAATATATAATGCCTATTTAATTATTTTACCAAAATATGATATATTATACTGTTGACAAAGCATCACTATCAACTGAACTCCACTCAGAATCGTTTTTTCGTTAGCAATGGTTATTAGTTCCTTACATGTATATATTAAATTCTCTTCTGTATCCTACTTTCCCAACTTCCCACCTATTTTAATTTAAAAGTATATTTGAATTCTATGATTTCCAGTTAACGTTTTATAGGATATATGTATTTATTTTTTTTTTTTAATTAATTAATTAATTTAGTTAATGCACCTTTATTCTTAAAATTAACTGATAATAATTAATACATATATTACAAAGAAAAGAAAAAAAAATGAAAATATTTTTCCTATAAACATCAAAAAGAAGTATACGAGTCAAAAATTTTTCAAAAGAAAAATTGCACTCCAACTTATTGTTCTAATGTTTGAAAAAACGAATCGCTTTTAGCCGCCTTAACGTAAAACTAAATATATAAAGGTGAATAGTTTTTGTCTCCTTTACATATTTTTGTACTTAAATCATCTTTTCTACTACAAAAAAAAAAAATAATAATAATAAAAAAAATGACTGCGACCAACAAGATGAAATTTCAGAAAAAATGTTACATTTCAAAATCAGAATAAGATTTCTTGTGAAGACCCATTAAAAATAATTATAATAATAATAATAATAAAAAAAACAAAACAATATACTAGTTTCAATATTCGTATTTATGTATTTGTATTATTAATCTGCCTAATTATTTTCTATTATTCTTGTTCGCAGGACATTTCGCACGCATAGTTGTTACAAGAATGTGAAAATACGAATTTACCGAGTTTGAGCGGTTTTTTTTTTTTACAAATGTACCTGATGTATCGTTGGCAACATATTATAGAAGAAGAATAAATCAAAATGAGCAGTGCCATGAAATGATATTTACTATCATGACGTAATAAAATCACACATAATGAATACGATTGAACACAACTTTAGGTAACGTATAATAGTAAAAACAATTTTTTTTTTTTTTAACACTAAAATGTACTCGATCATTCATTTTAAAACTCAAAATACCATAAAATATTATTTTATTATGATACATGAACAATTTTTAACTCAAATGGAAATACGAGGTGTTCCAATTTGATTGGAACCCATTTGATACGGGGGTTTTATTCATAAAAAAGGACTTTAAAGGAGAATAGATACGATACTTGGTTTAAGAGAAATATAGCTGATACATCTGTTGGGTGTACCACTATTGTAGAGGTAAAGTTGGAAAAGTTTAGGATACAGAGTTTTATCGGTACGCAATAACAAATTATGATTCTGAACGACGTTCGGTTAAACATATTGTTTTAAAATACCGGGATAACGATTTATCGGACTTACGATTTTCGTCAAAGTTTGAATTTAAAGAAGCTTATAAATACCTTTCAGTTAAAATTGATTGAAATAAGTATCACTCTATTTTAATATACTATAAATTAATAAGTGACAAGCGTTTTCATTTAGAAAACGTAAATTCATTTACGCACGTCGGGATTTAAAGTTTTTCAAATAATACACTCAAAACGTGAATTTTGTTGCCACTGATCTTATCGTGTAAAAAAAAAAATAGTCCTTATTTCAATCCAAGTGGCACTGGTTTCAAAAAAATTACTAGACTCAACGTCTATCGTCCACTGTTTTGTTTTAATTTTATAATCGGTATTTTGACTATCTAAAACAGTGTTTCCCAACTGACGGAGCATGTACATATTGCTGAGGAGACGCAAGCAGTCATCACGAAATGAAATTTGTATTTATTTAATTACTTGTATTTTACAGTTTAAGGGAAAAATACAAATTTAATAATGACCGACGATTGGTTATCGATTATAAAGATTACGAGCAAGGCTATATTCAGGTAGAGGCGACAGGGGGCAGTTGACATTTTTGATAAGATTTGTTTAGTCATTGATAACCCTTGATAACCTTGTTTGTTAATAGGGAAAGAGAGCGAAACATTTTTAAAAAGCTACAAAGGGGGCGTAAAATAAAAAAAGTTGGGAACCACTGACCTAAAATATCAAATGCACCAAGTGTAGCCTGCAATGGCATATATTAGCCTATATTTCTAGTGGTGCGGAGAAATCTTTTAATTTTTAACTCCAACTTAATTCCTTTGTAAATTACCAAACCAAATAAACAATTTATTTTTCTGTAGGTACCACATTTTTTATGAAATGAATATATTATAAATATTTAATTAATTTAAAAGTAAAAACTTTGTTACTATAACATTTAAAGGAAAAATATAGATAATTGTTTAGAAAAAAATACAGACTTTTTAAAATATAAACTACAGGTAAATACACATTTTTATGATTTTCTGGTGGTGCAAAAATATAAACTTGCATCACCACATTTCAAATGTAATTGTACCAAATTTACGCCACTGCGTGTTGCGTCCTGTTAAATACGAGTGACCGTATCGGGGACGGGTATATTTAAGGCCATAGGTGATGGCGGCTGGACCCCATGAAATATATGTAAGTACAGGTGAAATACGTTTCATTAAAATAATATTCGACGATAATATTGTTCGCAAAGTCCTGGCGGAAACGGTACACGGGAAACTTCGGGGCGGTGGCGGCGGCTATAAACACGAACCGCAGGCCTTTGCGGCGGCGGCGCGATACGGAAAAAGTTTTCTCTCCGGTGACGGACCCCGTACCCCGAACGGACATACCGAACGGACATATTTATTTATTTCAGAATTCCGTGCGGCCGTATTCTCCGCGGTCGCCCGTCGCCGATAAAGCCCTGCACGTCGTAATATCGTACGGAAGGGACGGGAGAACCCCCCCCCTCCCCCCCGATTTCTCGTAATGCGATTTTTCGGTCGCGTTTATAATATATCATACGGTGTTTATGTTCCCGGGACCGCGGGGCGAGTGCGCGCGGGTATTAAATAATGGGATCGCGCGCGGTCGTGACGGTGACCAAACGCGGTCGAAACCTTTTATAATATTATAATAATATAGCCGATCGACCGGATTTCGGACCGTCGAAAACGTAAAAAAAAAAAAAAAAAAAAATCTCCCGAACAATACGCGAGACTTTAGCGCCCCGCATTAGTACGCGTTGACGGGATAAAAAATTATTTATATATTTATGTACGGGGCGTCCCGTACGAAGACATCGCGGTCGTATTGCGCGATACCTCCAAACGTATTATTGACTTTTTTCAACAAATTTACGAAATATATTATTTTAAAATTATTTAAAATTAAATTACGGTCTTTCAAAACATGCGTATAACGCTCAGAATCGTTTTTTATTAACAATGGTATTATATCGTTGCGTACAGATATACATTACATTTCCAATCTACCTTCCCAACTTGTCACCTACAACAGTGGCCCATCCATTGTGCGAAGTATGTCCGTCTTTCTATTTATTTACGATTTAAGAAACGAGTAATAGGTATGTAGCGTTGTCGTTATTTTTTATCACCATTGCTTCTTTTTTTGGGGGGGGGGGTTCAAACAACTAGGTACTTGATTATCAAACGACAACATATTATATCAAAAATTACATAAATAGACGGAGTATTTGTAAGAATACATTTATGTATTGACATGTTTCACTTCTGTCAACTCGTTGACGAGATATTATACTTTTAAATTGTCAGTAATAGGAGAGTAGCATTATTCAAACGATACGTCAGTAGCATAAATGATGCTCCTCTACTCTCCCTCCTAAAATATCAACGGGTTGATGGAAATCAACAATTTCAACATCAACATTTATTTAAATTAACACTCTGTATATTTTTATGAATTTGTTTAATGTAGGATAAAAAATTCGTTTCACCCTCCGAAAATAAGGAGACCAAAAAATTATGGTTTATGTACAATTTTAGAGACACTTGTTCTAAAAAATTTCATACGAAAAATAATCCGGAAAAAGTTAATATTTTACAAGATAACGCAGTGATCATATTATTATCTACATGGAACACCCTGTATATATCGCAAACGTCAATTGCGGATAATCGTGTTAAAATAATATTAAAAATAAAAAAAAAAAACCCTCCAGTAAATCATAATGTCCATTCGGTGTGTAATCGCTCTTTTCGCAAAAGCGAACGTTCGCTTCGTGCGTAAAATCGACGTTTTACTATAATTATACAGAACAGTTTATAAAAAAAAAAATATATATATATTTGTAAAGCGTGTTTAGAATGTGGAATAGTTTTATACGCGTTCAATAGTAAAATCAAAATGCGTAAAAACATTCGAAATTTATCACCGCGAAAAACTGCCTAACCTACAAACATTATCCGTTGTTTTTAGGAGTGATAAATGACAAATTTCTTCCCGAATAGGTGGGTTACCGGGATAACAAATTTTATCTGGTTTTCAAGAACTACGCTATAATAGGTCTATGCTAATAACAGAGCAAGTCACCACCCTTCTTCTAAGCAATTCTTTCTGAGCCATATTTGTATCGAATTGGTATGTATGGAATGTTAAGAATATTGTATGGGAGTTTTTTTTTTTTTGTAAACGAGGATGGTGGTTTATACAACTTTTTGTCTACCTTCCTTTTAAAAACATGGTTCGACGCCACTGGCCTGAGATGTTGTTTTGTAATAGTAACACGATTCTCATCTACCTAAAGTTTTCTCGCCAAATTCATCTCGATCATTTCACACGTTTCATTAAATCATTAAAGAAAAGTTTATGGCATCTCCTCCGCCATCGTTCTAAATTTTTTCCAGAGAAACCCCCTTGATAGTATATTATAGTACCCTAACCAATGAGAAAATTCGATATTAACCGGGTTTTGCCCTGTCCGTTTCCAGTCCGCAGATGGAGCAAGCGGTACAGAAGTTCAACTATTCCATCGGGTTAGACAACGGCACGTCCAACTGGTCTACGGCGATGACGGCGACCGAGTTCAAGCCGGTTCTGTCACCGTTCGAGTCCTGGCAGAAAGTGCTCATCGTAATGGTTATCGGCGTGTGCATGGTGCTGACCATTACCGGAAACATATTGGTGCTAGTGTCGTTCATCGTGGACCGGACCATCCGGCAACCGAGCAACTATTTCATCGCTTCGCTGGCCGCTACGGACATGTTGATCGGTAAGGACGCTCGCGGTTACCGGAACCGCTTATGATAAAAACTATCGAAAACGTACCTCGTCCCTGGGACTGTAATGAAGAAAAACGGGTAGAGAGAGTAACAGGACGAATGGCAGGACGAAAACTTTGACATTTAAAATACCCATGACCGGGGTAATGTTGTGCATAAACCATGTGAAGCAACAGCATTAACCTCTTAAAAATAAAAAACCCTCCATGTTAAAAATGCGCCGAGTTTGCCGTTTATTGAAAATCATTAGCCGGTATACGTTCTCGATGTGGTAAAATATTAAAAATATTTATATATTTTATAAATAAAATCATAATAAATTCTTAATACTCATAATGTTATACTAAACAATTCAATAATGTCTGAAAAACACTAGAGTTTTGAAAACTCTACGGAATTGTATCACTCTGTATACATGCATGTATCGATCGCGATACCATACACAGATAATACATATGCTTTCCGGAATTTATAGAAAAAACTTAAAATCGCACATGTCGGTCAGGACTTTAACATTTTTAGTATCTATATAGTACTGTTATTACAAAACCTATTGAAATAGTTTTTTTTATTATTATTATTTCAATATAATAAATGCAAGAGAGAACCTACTAAAAATTTTTTTTTTTCCCAAGTAAATTCTATCTAATATTCTTTATCTTTTTTTTTTTTTTAATGTTCACCTTGGCCCCGCATACAAATAAAATATTATTAACTTTTACCGCGTGGACATAAAACGCGATTGTTATCACACATCCTAAAACGTAAATGTTATATATATTTTGGACAACCTTGATGAAGGTTTAGTATTATAATATATTGTTCGTAATAATTTAGCTGTGTAAACGTAAAAAAAAAAAAACTAATTAAAATAAAAATAAAAAAATAAAAACTTGATACCGTTTTATTCGTTGTCATTAAAAATGAATTCAGCGTCACGAAACGGTTTTAATTAAAATCGGTAAATATTTTATTTTTATAGCCGAGTCAGTGGGTTAGGTTTTGGTATAGTTAGGTACGTCGTATACCTATTATACGGTTTGTTTTTAGTGTGATTATGCATTTTTGATAACTTTACTGGATGCGTAGTTATACGACAAATGTCCCGTTAAAATTATGCACATGCAAGTATACTATTACCCATAGGCTTGTGGGATTATTTCAGCTAAATAATATGTTTTACAGTATTTTATGTAATACACAGGGTGGCCCGGAGAAATGGGGTTTTTGTTCAATGTAGAAACTGCATAGTTAGGTAAGTTAGGAGGGCTATACGTCCGTGCAAAGCTATCTGCAATTTGAACCTAATCAAGAGAGTGGGGGGGGTCAAAATATGCATTTACCGTACAGCCATGGAGACCTGTTCCGAAACCGGTTTGGGTCTGGCTGCTGTTCGCGTAGAATTACGGCAAAATCTAGAACATTCATGACGGTTGTGAATTTTCAGAGGACAGGTTCGGCTATAGAGAGAAAAACATCCGCGGATGAACCCTGTAACTCGATAAGAAAGTATAAACACAGCTTTCTATGCGTAGGGCCGATAATTAATTAATTATACATTTAATCTCATACAAAATACTGTTGTATATCAGTGTATTTAATGTTAATTTTTTGGCCTGACGTATCGAACGTTTTCGTTAATCTTATCGAGTTACTGAATCCACTTACTGGCGGTCAACGAACAAAACCAACTCCAGAAAACCACAGATGTCACCTTTACGGCCTATTGCGCCTTTACTTTGTGTACCACCGGTCCAAGATTAATGAATACCGGGTAGTTTTGCACGAAAAAATACTACTCCCGGTTGTCTACATTCTCCCCGGGGCAGCCACCTACTACCTACTACATTTAAAAAACTTTTATTTTCCCGTACCACTCTGTATACGACTCGATAGTTTTCAAAAGATGTGTTGAACATGCCATCGTACCCGGTATATTGTGCATTTTCAACTCTCGTTAAACGGTTAATTCGGATCGTCGAATCATATTAGAATTCACTTCGGGATTAAAATGCCCGTCGACGCGTCACCGCAACAAACAAACAAAAATGGTACCCGACTCGCTCGTTTTCCGATTGATCACTTTTTGACGGATTCCGATGATTCTAAAACTAAAAAGTGACCGTGTTGGAATATTCTACCCGATCGATTGGATATTCAACGCGTGAAAACAACGAAAAAAAATACACACATTTTCCCATAAATTCACGGCGCTTTTGATAACATTCTAAAAATCGAACAGTAAAAATAATATCCTATATTGTTGGTTTGCGTGTTCGCGGGAAAATAATCGACTGCATAATTGCAAACAACCCTGACCGTATCGAGGTCCGAGGAATAGCCCACACAGTGTAGGCCCTGCACAAATTTAAATATTATTACATTGCGACCGCTTGATATAATTGACGTTATGTTGAACATTTCACAAATATCCCGGACTTCGGTGTTAAATAAAAAAAAAAAAAAAAATCCAAAATGAAAACCGCAATAATAATCTCTACAACGAAATTAAAGTCCGCCAATTAATGCGGCACAGGCGGGTGACCGCGGTGAATAATGCGTACGTGCCCGCGTCCTTTTCACAATTACGACGGCGGAGAATTTAAATACACTAAAAACCGTCGAAAAATTACCGAAAAAAAATAACTTGCACGAATTTCTCTTTTTCAATGATTTATTTGATAATTTTTATTTTATTACCAAAACTAAAAAGAACCAAAAATTAACAAATTCGACATTATGCGACGTATAGGTATCACAAAAGACTGCGTTGTTAACGCACAATGTTATGTTTCGCAACCATTATTAAAATAGTATAAAAAATCACTATCGAAGTCAAAGAATGATTGACAATCTTTATGAAAAAACCCGAAAAACCTATTGGACTTATCGTCGAATAAACCAATAATTATTATCGTCTTGGTAAATAATATTTTTAAATAGTTAAATTGTTTGAAAAGTGCATTAAAACTAAAAAAGTGAAAAATGTTGAAAAATACAAAAGTTTCACCCTAGTAATAAATAAATATGTAGCAAACAAAAAACGCGAAATAAATGTGTATGCAAGCATTAGAAAAGCGTTGTCTAAGATCATCCCGAAAAAAAAAAAGCACTTCCATTGAAATTCGGGCATAGTTATTATAATATAATATGTGATGTTATCTATTGATTATAATGTATTGTTTTCAAAATGGGTATTTAATGGTTCAAAAACGCTCTCGTAATAATTACCATGTGAAAAACTGAAAATAATAATTCGGTGCTTACTTGACGAAACGGGACGAAATTAAAACCCCAGTTTGTCGTGACATAATTTTACTGTCACCGTGATCATGTTAGTGGGAGAAGTATTCTTCAAAGGGGTTTTCTGTGTGCAAGTATAAGCACACAGTGAAGTATGTTGGATTCCCAGCATCGTGAGATTTTGCTTACCGTGTTCACTAATGATAATGAACGATAAATGATCGACTATAAATTGATTTTGTGACAAACTATTATGTTTGATGTAGGAAATATTCTCACTGAAAGATAGAAGGGTAGCTCGGAATGTCCAGTAATTAAGGGGAAGATTCGGTTTATCTGATTGTGGAGCTTTCTTAAAGGGAGTGCGGAGTAGCACGCAATGCATGATTACTTCATAAAAATGACCTTCGTCCATAAAAATAGTGCATTTATATTAATTTGTTTCTTCCTTGTATTATTTTCCGATGCTTACTGAAATACATTTTGAATGCGATAATTTTCACGGCTGCACATCGCCGTAATATATTACGTTAATTTTTATATTTTTACACGATTACGTTAAATTAAACACTGAAAAATCGTCGCTTTTGTTCCGACAATATATCATAATACTATCGTATACCGTTTTATGTAACTGCGCTTAAAAAAAAAAAAAAAAATATGGTTTTAAGCATACATAACGGTAATATTCAACATCCCGAACGAAAACGTTTACCTACCTAAAATCCGGTAAAATTTATTGCCCGTGAAATTATTATGGCGTCTTCACACTTCGTCGCCTCAACTGCTCTCCGCTGTGATATTATATACGTAGGCATAGATACGAACTTGCAATATCATTAACCGTTATCGCACAAATAACATTGTTATTACCCTTTTCTGCAGAGGGTAGAGGGTGCCCCGGAAATATTTACCATTTTACGAGCGGTATACCGGAACCCCGGCGAAACCCCGGCGCTAAAATTAATAACGTGTCACATGCGGAGCTATACTTATATTATATTATCGAATGCCGATCGATAGGTTATGATTTACGAGCGCGATTTAGATATTTTCAGTTATATACTGTGACTTGTGAAAATTTTCAGTAATTTGTTTTTCTTCGCGCACGTCACCGTCCCGCGCAAATGGGATCAGCTCCCGTGTGTCTGTCCAGTAGCTGAGCGCGTAGCTGAAAAAACAAAACATTCTGGTCCGAGCGATTTCAATATTTCGCAATCCTTTGAAACCACACATCTACTGCAGCGAGAATTGAGAGAATGCCACGGCGGTGCAATAACTTAACAGCTAATCCTAATTTCTTATTTGTTTTTAATAATCCTCTTACCCTCTATGCCACTATAGATTTCCAAATGCATCACTGCCTCTTCACATCAACTCCCACGTACCGTCATATGTCTCCCCCACTGTAATATCTACATGATCACAGCCCCCAATTCTTTTACCTAACTCTTCCTGGCCGAGACAGCCAGCTATTATATCTCGTCGTTACTCTATTTTAAAATGTTAGATTAGAAAAAAATTAAAAAAACCGATAAAATTATGGTGCCGTGTTTTTGTGTTATGTTCCAAACAGGTACGGTGTCGATGCCGTTCTACTGCGTGTACATACTGCAAGGATACTGGGACCTGGGTCCGTTACTGTGCGACTTGTGGCTGTCGGTGGACTACACGGTGTGCCTGGTGTCGCAGTACACGGTGCTGTTGATCACGGTGGACCGGTTCTGTTCGGTGAAAATAGCTGCCAAGTACAGATCGTGGCGGACCAAGGACAAGGTCATGTGGATGGTGGTGTTGACGTGGATCATCCCGGCGCTGTTGTTTTTCACCAGTATATTCGGCTGGGAACACTTTGTTGGTTATCGCGACCTACTGCCGGGCCAGTGCGCCGTCCAGTTCCTCAAGGACCCGGTGTTCAACACGGCGCTGATCATCGGTTACTTCTGGACCACGCTCATCGTGTTGTTCGTTCTATACGGTGGCATATACAAGGTGGCATATGAAATGCAAAAGAAGAGCGAAGCGAAACAGCGCAAGATGCAATCGATGGTCGCGCTAAGCGCGGGTACGGTGTCCGGTATGGCAGGGCACGCGGCCGGCATCGGCATGTCCAAGACGCAAAGCACCTTGTTAGTGCACGATAAGCCGTTACAACAGCACCAGTACCAACAACAGCAGCAGCATCAGCAACAACAACAGCTACTACAGCAACAACAGCAGCAACAACAGCAACACCAACAACAGCAACAACAACTTCAACAGCAACAATACCAAACTACGATGGCCGGTGCCAACAGATCAGCCGGTCCTGTAAATTGTGATGGGACGACGGTGGAGTCGACAGTATATTCGGATGACCAGCAAAACGGGACAGGTGGGACCGTGGTGATAGTGGACAAGGAACGGTCCAGTAGCCCTGCGTTCGAGTCAGACGAGGAGAGCACCACTGGTGAGAGACAGCTGCAGACGATCAACTGGCCGCGCAAAAAATCGGTGGCTGAACTAATCGTCCAGTCGGCGCTCGTGCAACGGTCCAACAGTGGCATACACTTATCACCATCCGACAATCTCATACCGTATGGTGGCGGTGGTGGCGCCAACGAGTGTCCGGCCACCAGTCGTCCGGTTATTAGGTCATATTCCAACACGGCCGTCGTTAGTTGTGCGGACGACCGACAACAACCGTCATCGGTGGGAGGCCCACCCGGAAGCCCGGAAACGTGTTCGCCGCCCAACAGCCGGGTCGACGCGCTCGTTGGCATGGACACCAGTGAGTTACACTTCATGGATGATAGTTCCATCGTAATCGGTTCGCCGACGTTCGAGAGCCCGACCAACAGCTGCACCAGCTCAATGAACGACACAATGTCGTCGGCGCAGTGTTCACCGGCCCACGCAGCCATGACCTCGTCGTCGTTGCTGCAGGCCGCGCTCATAAGGGCGGCCGCCGCCCAACAGACGCACGGACCACCATCGCAATCCATCGTGGTGTCCAAAGTCAACACAGCCGTAGTGATGACGGACCACGGCCGAACCACAGCGTCGACGAGCACTGTGGTGGTGGCCGCGGTCGACGATGACGACGACGACGACGCGGTACCGGCCGCCGAAAAGTCTTCGTCAGAGACGACCAAGAGCGGCGGTGGTGTAGGTGGTGGCGGGGGTGACAAGCGCGAGGGAAGTTCGCGTGGTGACTTCGTTCGGACCATTGGCAAGCGGCTGAAGGTTAAGCGGCCCAAAGTGTCTGGCCGGCAAAAGTCCAAATCGGAAAACAGGGCCCGCAAGGCGTTCCGGACCATATCATTCATACTGGGCGCGTTCGTCATGTGTTGGACCCCGTACCACGTGCTGGCCCTGATCGAAGGTTTCTGCTCGAAGCCACCGTGCACCAACGAACGGTTGTTCCTGTTTTCGTACTTTCTGTGCTACGCCAACAGTCCCATCAACCCGTTCTGTTACGCGCTAGCCAACCATCAGTTCAAAAAGACGCTAACCCGGTTGATGAAAGGCGACTTTCATATATCATAGGTCCGTACTACGCTACGTTAAGACTATTCGCGCGCGCATTCTTCCGGCGAACTGTCCGCGTTCCAACTTCCGAAAACTCGATAAGGTTAACCTAATCCAACCTAACCCGATTTCCGTGCGTCGTGATCGTTTTTCGGTATATTTTTCGTTTTGTTTTTTTTTTTTTTTACCGATTTTCCAACAAAATGACACTCGCCCGTGTGGTCCCGACCTGGGTCAAACTTAAGGGTCACTCGACAGATGTTTGTTGAAAGATCGCCCCCAGGTGACGGGCGGAAAAACGACTACGAAAATCACCGCAAGTATGAATCGATTACGTTTTTCTAGACATACACGACGTTCGCACGTGATTTTATGGTTCCTATTACACTCCCGCTGACGTTAAATAATATTATCGTCGTTTCTCGTTGTGTGACAACACCAAAATGATAGATAATTACTATCGCCCCTACGACAAAATCTTTACGTTATATAGGTACGCTGTTCTCGCACAAAACACACCTAGTTCTTCCTTTTCGCATTTGTCCCGCCCTATAAACGACCTCTTCGCGTCCATCAAGAACGCAGCTGCTCTGGTTTTCTCCCTCCGCAATCCACATCGCCATTTATTCGTCTACCCCATACGCATGCCATCGTCGAAATATCATAGGCACATTTACTTTGGCCTGCCTCTTCTCCGATATCCGTCTACGCTCAACTCAACCGTCTCGTTACGTTTCTTAACATGAACGTTATTTTCCGACCGATCAACAATAACTTTCGGAACGCGGTAGTCACGTCGTCGAAGAGTGTACACGTAAACTTTCTCTTAAAATAACGATAATAATAAAACTTGTAAAATATTTATATTGTAGAAATATTGTACAGTGGTCTTATGTTTTTTTTTTTTTTTATACCTACGTCTTGATGCAAAATAATAAAATAATCGGCTTCGTGTACATAATATTATATTTATAAATAATAAACGATGCAAGACGGAAACAAAAAATGTTTAGCAAGCATTTAGTACGTTTAGCTTAGATTTGTATAGGGGGTTTTTTTTATAAATAATATTATACACAAATTTTGTCGTGTAAATATTATTATTCATATTGTGTTATATATTTAAAAACAGGGTAACATCTTATCTGTACTTAAAAATGTATAAAATATTATTGTTTCATATGTACCTATGTACGCGTATTATGAACATATTATATTAATATGTATTTAAAGGAAAATGTGATATTTATACTATTTTTTAGTATCATCGCGACAATATTTATTACCAAAACAAATAATCTATGTAGTATTAATATATTCTGTTTGATATTGTACGCTTATTATTATTATTATTATTATTATTATTATTATTATTATTATATATTATATATTTAAAAAAAAATTTAAAAAAAAAAATGTTTTAAAACGGATCCGGTTTACAGGTTTGTGAGCCCGTAATCTGTAAACTGCGTTCGTTTTCGCTAGATTTTAGATGATAACATTATAATCAATAACTGCGTTATTATGGATATTTATCGTGTATTAGCTGTGTATAGCCGACTAGCCGTTACGCGGATACATTTATAATAGGTAATTTATAATACATATATAGCGTGTGTATGATATCGTCGATCATAATAATATTATTTGTTAGTCGAAATTATTATGTACTTCTACTTTCAATAAACGATAGGAATTTTTAATTTATACGGACAAAGAAAAACTGTTGATTTGTTTTGTTTACAACTCGTTGGGATACATGAGGCGTAGTAATTCTTTTAGGTTAAGAATGGAGGCCAAGCCGGTTTTATCGACGGACTTTGAAAAACAAATTTCTTTTTTTTAGCCGAGTGATTTTTATATATTATCTTTTTGCTCGTTCAACCATTTCCATTTGCCCGACTGAAATATATATACATATGTATTTTTAATAAGTCCATCCGACAATTTCGGTAAGTTCGACGGGCAAACTGTTACTCTTAAACCCAGCGTTCAATAATTTTCAGCTCCTGCACAGTGTGGGTAAAACATCAAAGGGTCTATTGGCTGCGGTGAACGATAAAATCGTTTTCCGTTTACCGCTCAGCCGCGTCGTCCAGAAATGCTTATCGAAGATAACTTCGTATCGAAAAACTTTTGATTTTTGGTTTTTCACAAAAACGTACGACCGTTGCGTCGTAACCCGTATCACGAACACACCGGGAATCGCGCAAAAGGATAAGAAGAATAATTCATTCTCGAAAGCTGGTAAGGTATGTATTTATAATCTCGCTAGATAAAAAGTATTTTGATAGACATGTGGGCATTCAATAGGCATGTGAATATTATTATTATTATTTTTTTTTTTTTCAAGAAATTGGGTCTCAGTTTAAATGTTTATTATAGGCGGGTTTTTTAGATCCAGATGACAAAACGCATCTTTTTCTCTCTTTGTAACTATCAGTAGCAGATAAGGGTTTTTTTCTATTACCAAAATCCGAGTTCAAGGGCCCATAAATAAAATAGCCACTCATAAGTATAAATTGTATTTCAAATTTCGAAGAACTATGCCTCAGAAAAATCTGATGAGCGAAAAAAAAACCAATAGAGGCCCACCGGGAAAAGTTCTACACTTGAAAATCGGAGCAAAATTGCTGGTAGAAAAATTGTTCATAGAAAAAATAAAATAAACATCATTTAAAAAACCAATATATTCCTATCACTCCACTCAGAATCTAAAAAAAAACCTAATAATAACTCTCCGTAGTGCTTATTCGCGCAATTTTTAATTCTTACGGTCCGATGCCCTGATACGGGTTCTATGTTCGTAATGTGACGTTTTGCAGATAATATTCCATGTTTCGTAAAAAGTTCATATGCCCATATCGTACACGCACGCACACACACGCACAACAATGATATTTTGATTAATCATTGTCTGCTCAATTCTAAATTTATAGTTAACATAAATGCACCGATTTCCCAAAATAGTATTAGTATATATTTATATAAACGTTACTGTATATTTTATATATTAATCGATGTTTCTTCAGGCACGCCTCCGGGGTGGGAGGCTGCGCCCTGATATTACCAAATATAAATTGTTTGTCCTTTTTTTTAATCCAGATAAATTGTGGTATATATAATAATAATATATTTAATCTTTATCAAGATATTTAGATTTTAATTATATTTTATCTGTAACTACATAAATTGTATGCAATTATCTTTCATTTTTATCTAGATAAATGTTTAGTTATCTTTGCGCAACACTGGCTCTGGACAACATATTTATTTTTTTTTTTCTAAGCCTTTTTGTCTGTATTTTATTTTATTCGATGCGAATGGTTTCTATGTTCTTGTAAACCCTATTGACTTTGACGTGGGCTATACTAACCGTAAAACGACAAAGTGTATGTCCGTTAGATACATAATATATTTAAGCAAATACGTAAAATTATGCCACGTACAAGTTTATAATTAAAACCATTAAACAATGTGCGTAGAACCCGTCAACGGAAAATAATCATTTCACATTTGCATATTATAAATCCGCTCTCTATGAGTTGTACTATTTTATAAATTCAAATAAACCGTATATTATTACCATGGTGAGCTTCAAAGTATATACTACTATTACGGCCCCGCGTATTATACTTAATCATTTAAAACGATGTAGGTGTACTCGTAAATATATGATTGATGATAATCCCGAACAGTTTAAAACGCGTCGTGTCAACTTATCGATAAAAATACATACAAGTATCGACAAATAAATACCTATATATGATGATGATAATATGTCAACTATACGAAAATTCACTGACAAGCCGATATTTCGGAAAAAAAAAAAAAAAACATCAACGCTTGTCCACCACCTGTCTCTCCGTTGTTGATCTAGGTATGTATACATATGTACGAATTGACAAACGAATTCAACAACCTGTGAAGCCACATTCTCGTTGATTTATTTACCAATTTCGCCTTCGACGAATCGACACAACACCTACCACTTTTTACACCTATATCACGGAAACTGTGGGCATGTGTACGAAGAGAATGAAGGGAAGGCGCCCCATCACACGTCCCCTCTCGTTTGAAATATCACATTTAAAATATCAAATATCACATCGTATAATGGGTACAGTATTATTATTATGCTAATAATTCTGTCGATATTCATTTTTTTTTTTTTTTTAAATTTTTTTTCAATCGAGTTTTGTGCAAATGGAACACATAATATGTAAAGAAAAATTGTATTTTTATTTTCGTCTTTTAATTATTTAAAAAAAAATAACTTTATTTTATCACTTTTCAACATTTTCAAAATAGCCATTTCTTAAAAGATATTATTCTAAAATGTTCAATTTATCATACATTCATATCCAATTAATAGTTTTTTAGTTAGAGTGGCTTTAATGTATAGAAAATAGGCGTGAAAATAATAATTAACATTTAATAGAAGAAAAAGAATTATTGTGCTGATTCCTTATCACGTAACGTATTATTCCATTGGCAATCAATTGTTTTCAAGCCAATTTTCTAGAAATCAAAACGGATATTACTAAGAAACTATTAATCGGATATGAATGTATGTTACATTAAAATATTGAGAATAATATATTTTATAAAATGGCTATTTTGAAAATGTTGAAAGTGATAAAATAAAAATTTGTTTTTTTTTTTTTAATAATTAAGGGATAAAAATAAAAATGTAATTTTTCTCTATACATGTGTCTACCTCGCACAAAACCCGATTGATTGGAAAAATCTAAAAAAAAAAAAAAAAATGAATATTGATAGAATTATCAGCATAAGGATCCTGCATATCAAAAAAATACACAGAACGCACAAATTTACATTAATACCCAAGTATATATTATTACTTATCACTATAATATGACGAGTACCTGTTATATCGGCCATATTATACACAGTTTCCCACGAGAATTTACTAATTGTGCCGAGAAGCAGAAATATTCACAATCTGCTTCCCCGGCCATGGTAGTCCGGACACGCCTGTGTTGTCATAAACCTTTTTTGCTGAAAACCGTGTAATCCAATGATGAATACAAGAACTTAAAAATCGTTGTTTGTTAAAATTGTAATAAAAACAAATAAATGTTTACACGGAATGATTAATTATAGTAATTCAAAAGAAACAAAAGAGCGAGTTATTTAAAAATAATTTTGTACCAGTTTATTATACCTATGTTATATTTTTTGTAAGTACTTATATACTCACTATGTACAAATATAATATAATTGTATAAATTCGTGTAATAGGTACTTTGGTTCGCTGAATTAACTATATAACATTGTTTAATATATTAATTTTTATAACTCACGCGTGTTTGTAAAATATAAAACTATAGTGGTAAGTTTGGTACTATAGTGGCGATAGTACCTGTGACCAGTATAAATAACTAAGCAATACCAGAAAACTCGACAATGGAAATAATACACATAATTTTTTTTATTTTTACATAAAAATCCTACGAATGTATTATAAAATAGGCACGATACAACGTTTGCATTTTGTCTTTGATTTCATTGCCCCAAGACATTATAATACACAACTCTATTATAGGCTTTATTTATGACGATTAGAACGAAATAATATAAATAAATCTTAAATCCATGTTTCGGACGTCACCATTTTCGGCCAGTATCACTTTTTGGCTAACACTTACAGCTCCCTTTTCGGCCAAAACAGTTTTCTTTAAATTTAACAATTTCAATTTGTATTTATTAATATTATTCAGCTTATTTCCACCTCAATATTGGGCTGTTTCGTCAGCAAGTTTGGCTAAAACCACTAATGCTTGCGAGTCGTTCTGTTCATTTTTCAATCAAAGTTTTTATAAACATACTCCATCAATAATGAACTCATTGGTTAGCTATCCTTATTAATGGGATTCGAACCGATGTATATGTAAAAATTAGAAGTATTAACATTTTAAAAACACCACGTAATAAAAAAAAATGTAGAACGGCAACGACAAAATGAATCTTATATTGAGACTATACAAATAATAAAATATTCGTTATAAATTTGTCAAACAAATATCATATAATTATAAAAATAAAACTTTGTCCTAATTTGTACATATTCAGGAAGGAATATTTTATATTTTTTAACATTTTATGGGAAGGGAAGGGTATATTTTGTCCGAAAAGGGGACCACCCCATGTTTCAAACCCCTGTGATATTTAGGTATAGGTACTTACTTTAGTGTACTTAGAAACTTATTGAGTTGTATCAACAGTATCTATTTACAAAAACGTATTTTAATTTAATACGTTATAAAAACGGATTCTATACTCTGTTTTTAATGTAAATAATTTTTTATACTAGGTCTATCGTTTTTATTTTAATCTTTCACTTTAATACCGGTAGCTTAGATACTAGGTAATGGTGCTTCACGATTCCGCATTACACGAATCCGTACAACACTTCTTTGTGATGACGTTTTGTCACAAAAATCATATAGTCATCAAGATTATTGATTATCTGACGGAACAGACACATATTCGAACAGTAGAGTTAATGAACAGTTTTTTTTTTTTTTATAGAATGATCAGTGGTATAGCGGGGCTGCGTGTTCCTCACTTCGCAAAAATCACGCCACATATGAAAGACTTATCCATTCAAAACGTTACACCGTATTTTTAGAACTATTTATAAAAACCTCAATTTTGGAAATTTTTAGGTGA